GAGAAAACCATGCAGTTTAAATTAAGCGTGTATGTTCAGTAATAGAGGCCAAGCCAGGTAGCGGACAGAAAAGCCACCTGATAAGAAAGTGTGGGGAGCTTCAGAGACAGCGTAAGGAAGCCCACAGAGTCAGAAAGCATGCTTAGGAAGAGAAAAAGGAAAGGAAAAGTTTTCCGGGTATGTTTTTAGAAAGGCAGATATTCTTAATAGGACTATGTCTCCATAAATAACTATACCTGGTATAGGATTTCTGTGAAGAAAAAGTACATTATCTCAAAAAAGGTACATTGTAATGATATTTTGTTTGTGCTTTAACAAATAAAGCTTGCCTGAAGATCAGAGAACCTGAGTAGCCAACCATTAGAGTGTTCTTACCTCTACCAATGCTCAGACCAAAGGGGCAGTCCTGGACTCAGACTGACTACTCCTCAGACTGACTGCCTCAGACTGCACTGAGCTCCTGTCTCCTCCTGCTTTATATTCCCCCTCTCCGCCTAACCTTATCACTCCGTCTCCACCTCCCTAGTGCTGGGATTAAAGACCTGCGAACCAACTGCCGCACCACCTTCAAGTGAGCTCTGTTTTTCTTTTAGACAGATTCAGTGTCACAAAGCTCAGTGTGGCCTTGAACTCACAGAGATCCAGCTGCCTCTGTCTCCCAAGTGCTGGGATAAAAGATGTGTGCCAACACTGCCTGGCTTCTATGACTAGCTAATGTGGCTAGCTCTGTGCTCGGTTCCTCAAGCAAACTTAATTTGTTAGTTCATAAGCAAAATATCACCACAGTACATTATGCCATTAAAAGGATAATTATTCCACCCATCTCTTTAGCTTGGCTTTAGGTGAATCAATCTTCCCAAGGAATCATCCCTTAATCCAGTGACTGATTAGTCCAATTGGATTAACCTTTATGTTTGGGTTAGCTAGGACTGTAGGAGCACCCCTCACCTTCACACACAACTTCAGTTAACCTTTTGTGGTTTATATACACTAGCACCTCGCACAATCAGGGCCATTTGCAATTAGGTGCAGAATTACATATCAAGAGGAGCAGGAATAAGTGAACAAGATCTCAGGTGATAGTCCGCCTCCTTTTATGCCAAAGCACCAACAATCAACAACCCAACTTTGGGGGTTGTTTAAAAGTGGTTAAACTATTCTAATGAAGATGGTTGTTATGTTGAAGACATTGTTTTACAACAAAATCCATCCCCAGTCCCACTGAGGTGGCTGGTTGGCCAAGGATTCATAATATCCTCTCACATCTGAAAAACCTAGAAGATGTGCCTACTTTTTTACACCCAGTCTCAGTGTTCAATTTACCATGGCAACTGAAGTTTAATATCAGGTGTGCCCCTCCAACTCCCATAGTCCTTGTTCAGCCATTAATCAGTGGGTAATGTGGTGTAGCACGGTTTACATACATCTAAGGTACCTTTTCAAAGGGACTGTGTTGCTCTGCTTTCTGGTGTTGTCGTAAAACTGACCAAAAGAACGTTGGGAGAAAAGGAATTATTTGGTTTATGCTTCCAAGTAACTGTCTGTCATAAAGGGAAGCCAGGGCAGGAGCTCATGGACCGTGGAGGGTGTGAAGGAATGTTGCTTACATATTTGTTCCCAGGTTCACTTTCTGCTACCTTCCTTATACTTCCAAGGCCCACCTGCCCTGGGGGTATCACCACCCACACCAATCAATAATTAAGAAAACACTACCACAGCCCACTCTGGTGAAGGCACTTCCTCAATTGAATGCCCTTCCTCCCAGGTGACTCTAGCTTGTGTCAAGTTGACAAAAACTAAGCAGCACAGAGACTCATCGTCAGAGGGAGTCTGTGCTATGTTGGTGGTGTTCATATGAATCTATACATGAGATAAAATTGCATAGCGCTGTGTGTACACATGAACACACAATTGCTCGTATGACTGATGAAATGGGAACAAGCTCACTGCTTTGTATAACACCAATTGTCCTGTAGTTATGCATGATGCTCACACATGGGGAGACTTATGGCGCGTGAGCATCACATCACCTTTTCACAAAGTTCTGTGAATTTATCATCATTCACACTTCACAAATGTTTTATGTGAATGTAGAGGGAACGCAAAGTGCTAGAACATTTAATCTTCAACAATACGTTGTGATTGGCTGGAAATGACAAGATCTTATACAAAAACAGTAAGGCTGGCAATATTCCTGAAGAAACGGATGAAGCAGGCTACCTCAGTTGGCATAGTCAAAAGAGTAAGGCTGAGGTCCTCAGTTGCTGGAAGTCTCTGGCCTTTTTCTGGAAGCTGGGGAAGCAAGTTGAGTTGTAGTCCAGATTCCACCTCTGAGAAAGCCCACCAAATGATGACCCCCTCCCCAGAGATACTCAAGACCTCTCCCACAGGGTATTTAAATTGTACCCCAGAGAACATACACGTGGTTTTATGTTCTTCCTTCCCTGGTTCCTCTCTGGGGGCTGGAAAGCCATCCGGGAGCATTGGTATCTATTAAACCTGGGCTTTTTCCTAATTTGGGTTGATTTGATCTGATTCAGATTATTGCATCGGAGCACAGAAACTTTTCCCATGCTTTTGTTCTAGCATGGGAAAGAGGCAGAAGAAAACAAAGAGTATATGACTCTTACAGGAAGAAGACACAGGGCCAAGGAAGGAGGCCAAGACTCAGGATATGTCATAGTGCGTAGTATGAGAGAATCTTGCTCAAGGAACTCATAGAGATCAGTCCTCTGGGTTGAGTTTTCTTTTCCTAATATCACATCATCCCAGCATTCCTTCCTGCTTTCTTATCATCGTTTGCTTCCCTTTACCCTTCCTTCAGCTTTTCCCTTTGCTCACGCTTGTTGGTTCTCCATCATTTCTCTGCATCAGGGTCATTTTCTCCATTGTGGTTCTGCTACTTTTTTAAAAAAACGATCTCTATTGTTTCTCTTTCTCCCCTAACTACGCCTATTGCTGTTTCTTCCATTCTGTCTAGGCACCTATCATCCACGTGACTTGCTTGTGTTTAAATGTTGTTTGCATGGTAAATATGTCCTGTCCTTCCTGAAACCAGACACGTGTAGCTTGTCTGACACAGATGCAGAATAACTTTAATTTTATTGTCTATCATTTTGACCTAAGTCTCCAATAGAGCACCCCAATATTTCTGAAACATGGACAAACACCTCTCAGGAATGTCCATAGCACAGCACTATTCGTGAAAACCAAAACTACAAATAGTACAAATAATCAAAACCAGTTGAGTGGTTAACTACTTGAATAATAGAACATTACATAACAGGAGAACCAGCAATGGATGCTGATGCAGAGACAGACAAATCCTCATGATTCTTACAATAAAGTAAAACAAACACACAGATAAAGAAAAATGAAGTAGTTATATTTATTGCAGTTCAAATAAAACAGGTTTTAGCAGGTGTGGTGATACATATCCATAATCCCAGAACTCAAAAGAGATGGGGGAATTACAAACTCAAGGACAACCTTAGTTACATAATCCAGGTCTCAAAACAATGACAAAACAGGCTTTAGAAAAAAAGACAGCTGTCATTCTAGAGACAATGGCTAGGAGATAGTGTGAGAAGGTTTTTGGGAGTGTGGTATGCTTGTATATTAATATAGATATGAACTAACAGATGTACTTGTTTTGTGAAAATTATCTAAGCAGTATATTGTAATTTATTGTGTGTGTACATATGTATACACACATGTGGTACTGGGTTGAAAGTTTGCATAATATGATGGAAGCTATTGTACAAAATAACCTGGAAGGATTTGGGTGAGAAGGGGAAGAACTGTGGGACATTGTTTACCACACTGATATTTACCACACTGACTACATGAAACCACATGCTTACATGCAGAAGTGGGATAAAGAAGACATCAAAATAATGACGAGAAGTGGCAAACATGGAATAGGAATGCCAGGTTTAAAAGTATATTAATAGCTTTTCTCAGATAGGACACAACTGAGTCGTACAAAAGTGGGGCCAGATTTGGTAACACACACCTGTTAAGCTCAGCCCTGAGGAAGCTGAGATTGAAATGCCACAAGCTTGAGACTAACCAGGACAAAGTAAGACCCTGTCTTGAGGAAGAAAACACCAAATTCAAAGCAAAAGATAACTTCACATTTATTAAATAATGCGTATAAATATTTCCACATTTATATGTGTTGGTTTTGTTTTTCATTTGCTATTGAATTTTTTTAGTTTATTTTATTATTATTTTATGTTCAATGGTGTGAGGGTCAGATGCCCTGGAACTGGAGCTACAGACAGTTGTGAGCTGCCATGTGGGTGCTGGGAATTGAACTCAGGACCTCTGGAAGAGCAGCCGGTGTTCTTAACCACTGAGCCATCTCTCCAGCCCCCTTGCTATTGAATTTTATATACAATAGTGGAATCATCCTATAGGTTAGGAATATAGCAAAGAACAACTTGAATTTCAAATTAAATTACCATAAGTGATACACACTATACAGTGTGCTTGTTATTCATAAAATGTATGAGAGAGACAGTATTCCTAGAGTGTGCTGTGACACAATCTTTTTTTTTTTCAATACAGGAATTCCCTGTGTAGCCTTGGAGCCTGTCCTGGAACTTGCTCTGTAGACCAGGCTGGCCTCACACTCACAGAGATCCACCTGCTTCTGCCTCCTGAGTGTTAGGATTAAAGATGTGTGGCACCACTGCCTGTTCTTGGATTGTTTTAAAAGTGGTTAGAATTCCATTTATGACTCTTATTATTGGAATAATAATAAGAGTATTATTAAATAGTAAAAGAAAAGCTTGTTCTCATCACCATGGCCTTCTATCAAAAAGGGTTTGGTCAGGGGCTGGAGAGATGGCTCAGTGGTTAAGAGCACTGTCTGCTCTTCCAGAGGTCCTGAGTTCAATTCCCAGCAACCACATGGTGGCTCCAAACCATCTGTGATGAGATCTGGCGCCCTCCTCTGGCGTATGGGTATAAATGGAGGCAGAAAGTTGTGTGGATAACAAATAAACTAAATCTTTAAAAAAAAAAAAAAGGGTTTGGTCAAAATTGTCTTCATGTTAGATTTTTCAAAATATGGTCTCACTGTATAGCACAACAGACCTTGAACTATTGCTTCTTCTGCCTCGGCCTCTCAAGGCCTAGGATTACGGGCATGGACCACCACACCTGGCTTTAAACAGAAGAGAGTTTATCTTGCCATTATACAAGGAGATAGGCTAAAGCTGTATTTAAAAATAGGAATTATGGGGATTGGAGAGACGGCTCAGTGCTAAACGGCACTTGATGCTCTCGCAGAGGACCTGGGTTCAAATACCAACACTCATATAACAGCTCACAACCATCTATAACTCCGTTCTCAGGAAATCGAATACTCTTTTCTAACTTTTTGGGCACCAGGCATACACACGGTGTACGGATATATGTATGAACAAAACACTCATAAACAAAATAAGTCTAAACAAAATTATTTTCAAAGGTTGGTTTTATTTTTTAAGCTCACTGAGTGCATTAGTAACTCTGTTTTACCTTTCTTAGTGTGATCCTTCCTGGCTCACCTCCCACAAAGGCTGTTGAGGGCACACTTATACAGTTTAACAGGGATAGAGCACACTCTGTGGACACAGAGAGTAAACCTGTCATGGTGTCAGCGGCACTGAGCACTGTCTCAGGTCCCAGACATTGCTGATTTTCAGGGACAAGTCTCATGGTTTTGAATATTTTAGAGCTAAGCTGTCTGTTTTCTGCATTAAGACACAGAAATGACCAGTGTTTCTCGTGTAATGCCTAAGAAGTTTAAAAATGTAAATATTTTAACATAGCAGTAAGAGGATGGCTGTTTAAGTATGAAGAAATAGAGCAGAGAACACTTGCGGAGAGGACCCGATAGACACGTTCTGTCCGCGGTCCTTGCTGGCGGTGACCCCGTACCCACTCTCAGAAAGCAAGTCTACGCATGGCCTGTGAAAGAAAAGGGCAAACAAAATATTGACCGATTTAGTTCTCCTTAGGACCACATTATCTTTTTTAAAATACGTTTTTCTAGTTGTGGTCGCTTGATTTTACTCAGGTATGTATCATTAAAAGGGGGGGAGAGAGAAGACAATTTCACTCTCATCATACATACTTCTAATTTATGTGAAGCAGTCATTACTGTTCACTGGGCACTAAGTACAAAACCCCACTCTTCATAGGCAGCCTTCAATTTTCACCCTCCTGTGTATTATCATCTCTATTCTACATGCAGACACTGAAATGAAACAGGGTGGTGCCGGCCAAACAGCCAGTAAGGACCAGGTTCAGGAGTAGTTCACAGCCTGCCTGGGTTCAAATCCCCACAGCTACGTTTCATTACCTTAGAAGGCTGAATAGTCATTTTATGTGGAAATTAGTAACCATCTATTCCACAGTGTGGCAACCACTCAAGTCCCTTTATTTATTTCTGTATTCATTCATTCATTCATTCATTCATTCATTTCTTGGAGGTATACTCTCTATCCCAGTTTGTTCTCAAGCCCCAGATGTAGCTGTGGATACCCTTCAGCTTCTGATCTTCCTTGCCTTCACCTCCAAAGTTCTGGGGTTACAGGTGTCCATTTATTCTGTACTGGGAATCGAACCCAGGACTTCATAGAGTCATAAATTACCAGAGCTGGATGTACTTCTTGGTTTAATAATAACTTTCATAGGCTTATTAAGCTGGGGGGACAAGACACCAGGCTTGTGATTTTCATTCTAACTAATTTCTTCCATAAAATTTTTTGCCTGATTTTACAACAGGGGCTTGAATGTTGCCCAGTGCTTTTCATCAGGACCTGGAAAGTCATCATATCTTACTTAATCTAGCAGAACTGTGTGTGATCCTACATTTGAGACAGAAACCAGTTGCCTAAGTATGAATGGAGAACCCAGCTTCAACATAGTCCATGTGAAAATGTGTCTGTATTTGACTCCTGTTCAATAGAGCCCAAGATTTTGATGTAGCTATAATAAAAACAGACATATGTCCTTTAAATATCTTGATGAGCTCAAAATGGTCATGGTTGCATGGTTTCCATGGCACCCTAACTACTCGTTGGGACCCTTGTTGGCCAGCAAAACAGACTGCATGTCTGTGAAGACTGACAGAAGGAATTGAAAAGGCTGCTCTGGGAGTCTGGTGGAAACAGAGGTGCTATCAATAAGCTGTGGCCTGGCCCGAGGGAAGGCCTGTGTTGCTAGGGAAAGCATAGCTGGGTGGTTATTACAGAAAGGCCAAGTTCACTTTTATAGACACAATTAACAGGGATTTCTAGCCATGGAAACTTCCCTTGAGAAGTCACTTGGTTACCAGTGTCTGGAAATTTTCACAGAGAATCTAAATTGAGTAGGAGGGATTTCTGCATGGGCTGAGAACATTATCAGTTTCTCAGAAAACTTTCAACTTAAAATTCTTTTAATTACTTCTCAGCCTTTTGGCTAAGATCAAATATAAAGTTATCATATTTTAATTATATTTTTTGTTAATTTTATGATAAAAAGTTTTTTTGATCCTCCATTGTTGTTCTCATTTTATTTAGAAGTAAAACCCTAAAATTTACTCACATTCTTCAAGGTCAGTCAACTTTCCTAGGAACAGTCTGGTGGCACAAAGCTCCCGAAACATCCTCAGTCTGGTGCAAAGGAAGTGTGTAAGCCATCATCAGTCAGGTGAAGACTGACTGTGGCCTTAGTTAGGAGTCCCCCATCCACTTCCCTATCCCAGAGCCTTAGGTCTCTAGGAAGAAGTGAACATTGAGTTCAACATAAAATCAGAACTTGCCTGTGGCTTCTAGTCACTGCAGTGACTCTGTGTGCCCGAGATTACAGTTCCTGAGACCTTGTCGTCCTTGAGGGAATGTCTTCTTTCCATTTCTCCTTCTATGAAGCCTTTCAGAATGATTCTGCATTTTCCCTGGATGGCTCTTAGACTACTCACTACTTGTTCACACCATTTATTCAGTACTAAATCCAATTACTTTCTACATAAGAAAATAATGACCATACCTCATCCTGAACATCAAGTTCTTCCTCATTCTTCTCTGCTTCCATCAGTTCAAGAGGATCTTTACAGTCTTGAATGAGGGTGATCTTGATAAAGAACATACACAGTACTTATTGGAAATCTAATAGCATCAAATACAGCACACACCACCAAAAATGATTTAAACTTTACTGGTACTGTCATTTGTCATCTGTACTTCAGAATTTTCTTCTAATTTCTTGTTCGTTTATATTTCTCGTACATTCAAACTGGTCCAGTTTTCTACTGTGCAAACTCCTTGAACAGCTCCTTCTCTGTCTCTGAAGTTGTGCCTCTTAACAAGACACCCTCAACCAGGCAGTCAATAATGCTTGTCCTTTGACAGCTATGAGCGCTTCGTACAGCTCTGAGGACACTTTGACTATACTACAGTGGGCTGGTGACTGAGGACAATAAAGGGGCCCAGCTTGAATTTAGCAGAACTTAATTTATTGAAGGAGAAGTTGACGGCTTAGGACATTTCTGCTTTTTTAGAGATAATGTATAATTATTTAATCCTCTCTACAGAGGATATCAATACACCTTGCATTTGTCTTATTCATTGAGAAGGACATTTCAAAAGCAATACCAAATATATAGCAAAGCTAAAATGCCATCCTGTACTACTGGTTTTCTACTTTTCATCTCACAAACAGCTCAGTGCTTTTATTGATGTGAAAATCAGTTAGAAGACCAAGTCCCTGTACAAACAGTCTAAATATGATGGGAATGGTAGCTACAGATTGTGGCTATTCTAGGATAAATCTTGTCATAGATCAAAGGGTGGAAAAGGTTTTTAATCTCTGCATCTAAATATCCTTGCCTAACAAGTGACTTTCTGAAGGAAAGAAAACCACCAGGTGAGGACGGATCAGGTTTCATGTGAGAGCCTGTGGAGACAGGCAGGGTTCCCAATCTCACTGGAGCCAGGAATACTCTGCCCACCTTGCAAGCAATCATTTATACTCAGGCTAACACACACTGAAAGTGAAAATCTATGCCAGCCACTCACAGCACCTCACAGACTGAATCCATGTAGTCTGGCATATAAGCACACTGTTCCTCATTCAGCTTCATTGCATTTGTGGCCTAAGACTTTACATCAGAATGGGTGCTAACAAACCACATAACTGCTTTCCTTTTGAGAAGGAACTTGTTACCATGGTTTTGTTTTGCTTTTGATGTGTGATCTCAAAAACTATATAAGCCAGCTTTGTTTTTAACCTAGGGTTAGAATTTTTTAAGTTGGAAAATTTTAAGCTAGGCATTTAAAAAATGCACAAAAGTGGTGCAATTTTAAAAGAAAAGAGTTTCATTTATTTTATGTGTTTGAGTGTTTTGTTTACATGTATGTATGTGTGCCAAGTGTGTGTCTGTTACCCTCAAAGGCCAGAAGTGGGTATCAGATCCCCTTCGACTGGAATGACAGATGGCCATAAATCACCATGGGGATGCTAGGAACTGAACCTGGGTCCTCTGGAGGAGCATCCAGAGCTCTTAACCACCAAGCCATCTCTCCAGTCCCTAGCTTTTCTTTTTGGTAGGTGTGGACAGTTGAGTATTTGAGATGGACCCTCTCAATAGCTTGGCTTGCTCTTTTCCCCAGAAACATTGGCAGAGCATCCTCTGCACTGACAGCTGAAAAGAATAATGCAATAGTTTCTAGATTAGTTCTACTCTGAGCACCAACTCCTAATCTGTAATAAAGATCTGCTTCTCTTAGCCTTAGAAAACATCATAAGTTATACAATATGATTATGTTACAAGGATAACTGTTTTTCATAGATGCTAACAGTGATTTAAATGGAAAATGTCCCCCATAGGTTCATATATTTGGACATTTAGTCCCCGGTAGGAAGCACTGTTTGGGGAGGTTATAGAACATTTAGGTGATGGAGCCTTGCTAGAGAAAGAATGTCACTTTGAGGTTTCAGAGCCTGCTCCACTTCCTCTCCTCTCTCTATGTGTGGATAAAAGGTAACCAGCCAGTTTCCAGCTCCTGACTCTGTACCATGCTTTCTCTGTCACTGTGGACCCTCTGGAACCATAAGTGGAAGTAAACTCTTGGTTGTGATATTTTTATCACAGCAACAAAGAAGAAACTGCTACGGTGTCCCAAATTCACTGTGAAAGCATCATGAGAATTGAGGTTCTCATTTAGGCCTTCCAGTAAACCTAGGCAATGAGTTCAAGCAGGTTTGCCTCTTCTCATTATTTGAAAAGAGAATTGACAAAATAAGGCTTTAGGAAATTATAGTGTTTTCCATTTTGTGGGAGAAAATGAACCTGTGATGTGGGATTCCCCTCTATATGCTGCGATACCATCGCTTAATAAAGAAACTGGCTTGACCTGATAGGGTAGAACAGAGATGGGAAGGGGTGGCCTAAACCAAATGCTGGGAGAAAGGAGCCATGGAGCTGCCACCAGAGACAGACATGCCGAAACTTTGCCAGTAAGTCACAGCCATGTGGCGATATACAGATTAATGGATATGGATTTAGTTTAGGATATAAGAGTTAGCCAGAAACACGCTAAGCTATTGGTCAAACAGTATTGCAAATAATATGGTTTCTGTGTGGTTATTTCGGGGCTGAGCAGCTGGGAACAAACAAGTGCCCTCCTACAACAAACCTGGATTTGTTTATCGTTTTATTTGTTTTTGTGTGGGGCTATACTTGCCTGTGAGGATACATGTGCAGGTCAGAGGTTCCTCAGAATTCTTTGTTGCTTTTCATCTTATATTTTGAGATAGGGTCTCTCACTAAACAGGGAGCCATTACGGCTATCCTGGCTGGCCGTGAGCCCTGGGATTCACCTATTTCCACACCTGAACAGTGAGGTCACAGGCACGTACCGCCAAGCCTGGGTGCTGAGGAACTGACTCAGATCCTGACATTTGCACAGCAATCAAGCCTTTGCCCACTGAACAGTCCCTCATTTTCTGTTCTTTGTTTGCTTTTCAAAGATGACTTGTGGGTTAAATCTTAACTTTGTAAATTAAGGATCCCCGCTGGTATAATATACACTACATTGATACACATCACAGAAAAGCCAGGATTCAGTTCTGTCTTCTAAAATTGTGTTACAGCTAACGCCACATTTGTCAGGGAGCACGCACACTGCAGAACTCTCGAGTCTTGGGCATTACCGGGAACCCTCCTAGAAACTACTTTAGTCCTCCTGTCTTCCCGGCAGTGAGTGGTTTTCTTTTCTTTTTTTTTATAGTTTTTTTTTTATTGAGAATAAGAAAAAAAAAGTTTCCGCCTCCTCCCAGCCTCCCATTTCCCTCCCCCTCCCCAGTGAGTGGTTTTCATCCCCACTTCCCTGATGAGAAAATGGCTCTTAGAAGTTGAACAGATGGCCTAAAAGTCAGAGGGTTTTTTTTCTTCTATGCTGGTTTTCAGGATGGAGCAGGTGAAGTGTTTACCGTATCTAGAAGGGAATCCTGGACCTCCCTGGATTTAACCTGGTTCTGCAGATAGAGTATAGCATCATGAACCGTCAGAAAGAATCTGTCCTTTCTAATGTTGTCATCAAAGAACCCACACTGCTCCATTTTTTCTAGTACATCGTCTGCAAAGGAAAAAGGATGTTTAGTTGCTAGAAAAAGGATTTTTGTAACATCGAACGATATCCGGTGTTTTGTTAGTTTTTGTAGCACCCTTCATCATTTCCTCATTTCTACACTCTGACCTGGCTTCTCCCACAGTACCTTCCTTTGCCAGCAGCACACGGAATGGTCACCCCACAGTTGCTTGCAGTCTGTCTTGGTGACCCTTTTGCCAAGCCAATATTCCCATCCCTAGTTGCCCTGAGCCTGGCTTCTCGTTCACAGCTGTGCCCTTCTCAGAGAATTTTATCTGGCCACTGGGAGTTGTTTAACTTGAAGAGGCCTGGGGAGCTCCATCCCCCTACATACTTGACCCGACCCACTGACTGGCACATAAGGGTATAAAGTGGAACTTTGCATAACCACCTCTGTACAGAGCCACTTATGTAATAAAACATCTGACATCAGGTGGTTGACCAGCTTCATCTATGGCCTAGTTCCCCTTCCCTCACTCCCTCAACCACTTGTGCATAAATCCCCACCTCAAGCTCCTTCAGAGAACTCATCCTAAGCACTGGTACCCTCCTCTACTTACAGACATGCTCCAAAAGATCTTCATTGTCTCCCCTCGGCTCACTCCAAAGCAATGTCCCCGTAGCCACCAACAGGAAACAAGCTTCTAGACTGTGCCACCCATGTGGCACAAATTGAAAAAAAAAATCTCTTTCAAAGCTCAAAGCTGCCCTAAGCTATTGTAATTGGTGCACAATTGTTTGTGGTGATAAAGAGTTTTGGAAATAGCACATAATTATCTAATATTGTGATTAACTACGTATTTGAAGGTAACTAAGATGACATTCTTCACATTCCAAGGGAGAAGATGTGGGCAAGTTTGACAGGTGTGCACAGAGGCGTTTACCTTGAAGCAAAGCAAAGTACACGTTCACGTCAATTCTCTGGAATTCTTTGACAATCTAAAAATAGAAAAGAATCCAGTCATATTTAAACATTTGCTCTGGAGAAATATCAACATCTCTATGGTTAATCAAGACTTCCAGGAGAGTTTATTACTGGAAAACCATAGCTATTTTCAGACTGACACGATGCTGTATATAAAGTTGTATGTGCATATATCTTAAGAAATAGCACACCCAGCACGGTAGTTTATACAGGCAATGCTATCACTCCAAAGGCTGAAGCGAGGGGCTTTTAATTTGAAGGTTACATAGCACGGCCTATTTTAAAACAGGCCGAGGAACATAACACCCAGTGTTGGGTAGCCAGCAATTCATAGCACAGAGGTACTCTACAAATAATTTGTAGAAAGAAGGAACAATGGAGTAGTTAGGCATCCAAATAGTTCTTGCTCACTGTAACAAAAAGTAAATAAGACTTATTCAAAAAGTAAAATCTCACTAACTGTCCAGGTCTTTGTTTTAAATGTACCCATGCTCATTATCTTAACTGCACTTTTCTACTATAGTTTATTTATTCCATGTAACTGTTGGGAGAAACAGGAAGGAGGTACACAGAATCTCTCTAATATTCCTCAAAACTAAATATGAATTTACAATGATCATTAAAAATTTGATTTAAAAAAAAATCCAGACCCTAGGCCTGTGAGCCATAGTAATTGTCACCATAACATAAGCAGCTATTCAAGTGTGGAACATACTCTGGCATCAGTACTCTACAAAGTCATTAAACCAACTGGCCAGCGTAATGTATAATGGGTCTGAGTCACTGCACACAGTGAAATAAACAACAAGAAGCAGCCAGCATGTGTTCTCAAATGAGCTAACAGACCTGCTGGGAGAACAGGGCCTCGCAGCATATTCTCACAGTCTTTTGCCAAGTGTAATTGCTTACCTACCCAGCACCCAGACCCTGGCATCAGCTTCTACTCCTGCAGTGGTAGCCCACAGCTAAGCTAAAACTAGACAGAATCCTGGTTCCTGTAATTATGTCTGTGGTTGGTGCCTTATCCTGCGGCCCTCTCTGTCTGACCCTCTTGATCATTACCCAAAGCTTCATCTAAATTTGACACCAGGGGTAACACCTATTAAACACACTGTGAAGCACTTACTGCGGTTGTTTGTGTGATTATTTACTGTTTGCCTTTCTCTCAGGAGAGAGCTCAGGCATGCCTTATCACAAGCATCTTCTGCTAGCTGGAGCAATGAGCACACACTGAAGCATCAAATGAATGGACTGAGATTCTGCTATTGCTCTCGGTTCTGGGAATACTTCTGTCCTGCATGTTGCTCACTCTTGCCCTGACTTCCTGGGTATGACCTGCCCTTATTAACAATGGCTGCCTCTTCTAGTCCAGTCCATTCACTGTTCCGTAACAAGTAGAATATAATACTTAACACAAACTACCACTTTTCCTTGTTTTTTTTTTTTTTTTTTTTTTTTTTTTTGTGTGTGTGGCTCATTTACATTGTCAGGAAACTAAAACATACTAAGTGTTAACATTGTCTAAGAGATGTCTGTGTTCCAGACACTTCTGTATTCCTTATATGTATTGCTTATTTGATCTTCATGGTACCTGTATAGTAAATACCACCATTATGCTTACATTACCAAAGAAGAAGCCAAGACAAAGGCAGATAAGAAACTTGTTCTTGGTAGTGGAGGCAGGATTCATCTCACAGAGCCTGTCTCCAAAGCTCTATTGCTCTATTGCCAAAAAGGAGGATGAAGAAGAGGGAAGAAAATTCACTTGGGCAAATTATAAAGCCCTTTCACACAGTTGAGCGACCCATTCCATTACTTTATCATTACCAAAAAATAAAAAATAAAGCATCACACCCCAAGTGTCCAGTACAGACAGCCAGAACCTCACCATTCGCAGTGACTTCACTCCTACCACATCCAAGAAGGATATGGCTCCACAGTCCAGTACCAGACTATGGATGGGCACTTTGGGGACATTCACTTTAACTGGGAGTTCCGAGTTCCAGTCCACTTGAATCTCAATTTCTTTGGTTGGGATATCAAGTTCCTCTGGCTCTTCAACATCCTCGTCAGGTTCAAAAGCATTATTTGATAAGCCAACATCACTTATGATCCCGTTCTAACAAAGAAAAGACCGCCAATTTTATTGTCAAAAACACAGTTTTCATCAGTTCACCCCAAACTGTTTAAAAGTCCTAAATGAGCTATTTAGAAAACCAGTCTAGCAAGGGTATGCATCTTGAGGAATGAATTTTACTTCTATCTATACTTTGGTGCTCTCTAAGAAGAAAATGAACGAAATTGGATTTCTGGGTGATTATGGGACATTTCCAAGAGAGACAGAAAATCACAGCAAAAACTGTGAAAGCTCATGAAATTACTATTGTAATTTTCTGCCATTGAGTCTTCACCTTGTTCTTTTCAGTAAAATAATGTTTAAAATGAGTATGGATGCTCATTTTTAATGGGGGCCAACTCTGTTCTGAGGGAGCTCCACAGGTTTCATTTACCCCACCCTCTCCCCAGAGCCTATGGAACAGATCAGCTGTTCCCTGATACACGCTTGTCATCTGTCTAACCGCTTTCACCAAAGAAAGGGGAAGAAAGACGCTCTCTCACCTTTGTTGCCCTCAGTTGTCCTTTTCTGACGAGTTTCTGTATTCTCCTCAGTGCTTTCAGCCTCTTATTATAAACTCGAATGGCATCAAATCCAACCTTTGGGAACAAATGTTAGTTACTTAAAATGTCTGGTTCTTAATATTCTATGGCATTTTCTGAGGGGCTGTTTCTCTTTTATTGTTAGTTATGTGTCCGTATGTAGGTATGTGCACATGTGAGTCCTGAGGATGTAAGACGCCCTGGAGCTGGAGTGTCAGGTGGTTGTGAGCTTCCCTACTTCAAAGAGCAATAAGCTCTCCTAACTTGCTGAGCCATCTTTTCAGACCCCGGAATGGCTATGTCTTAAAAGATACTATTTTGAAAGAACCCCTGACAGAAAATAAAAAAAGTGAGGTCTGAGGGAGTAGACTCCTGCCAGGCACCCCATCCCACTAAAGACAAGGACAGAATACTAGCAGATTAAAGGCCCTAAGCCAGTAAAAAAAGACAAAATCAAGGAGAAAAAAATGTTTAGCTTCAAGTCTGTATTTTCTTGATGTCACAAAGCTACTTTGTTATGGAGAAAAGTTTGTTAGCTCCCCTTTGAGCTAGTTTGTTCTGGAAACAGGAAGATAGCACTCGGGGAAATTCCAAGTTCCAAGGATGGCACTGGAGACAAGAACCTTTTACTCCAGCAAGGCAACCCCTGTCCCCTCCTCGGCTCTTATCTTCTCTCAGTGAACACTTCCCCAACACCCAACACACCACCTTCCTCACACTGTTTGTGGGTGAGATTTATGCCAACCTGACAGAGGTTAGAGTCAGGAGGGAAGAAGGACTCTCAACTGAGAAAATGCCTCCCTACGATTGGCCTGCAGACAAATCTGTCGGGAATTTCCCTGATTAATGATCCATGTGGGAGGACCTAGCCCCAGGTGGGCAGTGCCACCCCACAGGAGGTCCTGAGCTGTGTAAGAAAACAAGCTGAGCAAGCCAGGAGGAGCAAGTCAGTAAGCAGCCGTCCTCCATGGCCTCTGCGTCAGTGCCTGCGCTGACTTCCCTCAGTGACGAAAGTGACCTAGAGCTGTAAGATGAAATAAGCCCTTTCCTCCCTGAGTCGCCTTTGGTCATGGTGTTTTATCTCAGCAACAGACACCTAAGTGAGACCCAATGTCTGCAACTAAAACTTCTTTTATTAACTTTCTTTTAAAAATATTTTACTCATGTGTGTGTGTGTGTGTGTGTGTGTGTGTGAATGTGCACACGTGTACAGGGGCCCGGAAGGGATCCCAGATCCCTGGGTGCTGTATTTATGAGCCACTTGATATGGGTGCAGCATCCAAGCTCCTTTCCTCTGGTAGGTCAGGAAATATTCTTAACAGCTGAAGTTGTCTTTCGGCCCCTCTTCTATTTTTTTAAACATTTAAAACTATTTCTTAAAGTAATAAACTAATATATGTCAATAAAAATACGTATTTCATGAACTAAACTATTTTTTTAAAAAATTCTTCAAGGAGTACCAGCTCCCTATTACCCTGAGGGCGGGCGGGCCTGCAGCCGAAGAAAGGAGGCGGAAAAGAAATTGTCCCGGATCCCTGCAGTCTTTCCGTAGGTTGTGGTACCACGCCAGGCAAGAGAAGAGGAAGGAAATTAACCAGATCGGTGAAGGTCGATTTGAGGGTCTGCTGTAGCAGGTGGCACTGCTTGAAGCAAGGGAGGAACTTTCCCCCTCCATCAGTGGAGAGCAGAAAGATTGTTGGGCGTGGCAACACCTCACAGTAAAGGAAGAAGGGGCAAGCTGCTTGTTCCCAGGAGGTTTATCTCCAGAACTAGTTACTGCAGCTTCGAAGTGACTGAAGAAGATCGTTCTCCATAGGCCTGCACTCAGGCCCGAAGCCCTCTTCCCCTATTTTGAGTGGCCACTCTATTTCCTGGTCCCTGCCGTTGTCAGGGACGATTGCATGGGCTACGCCAGGAAAGTAGGCTGGGTGACTGCAGGCCTGGTGATTGGGGCTGGAGCCTGCTACTGCATCTACTGCATCTACAGATTGGCCCGAGGAAGAAAGCAGAACAAGGAGAAGATGGCCGAGGGTGGCTCTGCTGATGTGGATGATGCCGGGGACTGTTCTGGGACCAGGTATAATGACTGGTCTGATGATGATGATGACAGTAATGAGAGCAAGAGTATCGTTTGGTACCCACCTTGGGCCCGGATTGGCACTGAAGCAGGGACCAGAGCTAGAGCCAGGGCCAGAGCCAGGGCTACGAGGGCTCGGAGAGCTGTCCAGAAAAGGGCTTCTCCTAACTCAGATGATACTGTTTTGTCCCCTCAAGAGTTACAAAAAGTACTTTGTTTGGTTGAGATGTCTGAAAAGCCTTATATTCTTGAAGCAGCTTTAATTGCTCTAGGTAATAATGCTGCTTATGCATTTAACAGAGATATTATTCGGGATTTGGGTGGTCTCCCAATTGTTGCAAAGATTCTCAACACGCGGGATCCCATCGTGAAGGAAAAGGCTTTAATTGTCCTAAATAACTTGAGCGTGAACGCTGAAAATCAGCGTAGGCTTAAGGTATACATGAATCAAGTGTGCGATGACACAGTCACTTCTCGATTGAACTCATCTGTGCAGCTGGCTGGACTCAGATTGCTTACAAACATGACTGTTACTAATGAGTATCAGCACATACTTGCTGATTCCATTTCAGACTTCTTTCGCTTATTTTCAGCAGGAAATGAAGAAACCAAACTTCAGGTTTTGAAACTCCTTTTGAATCTGGCTGAAAACCCAGCCATGACTAGAGAACTGCTCAGGGCGCAAGTGCCAGCTTCGCTGGGCTCCCTCTTTAGTAAGAAGGAGAACAAAGAGGTTATTCTTAAACTTCTGATCATTTTTGAGAACATCAATGACAATTTCAAATGGGAAGAAAATGAGCCTGCTCAGAATCACTTTAGTGAGAATTCGCTTTTTTTCTTTTTAAAAGAATTTCAAGTGTGTGCCGATAAGGTTCTGGAAATAGAGAGCCACCAGGATTTTCTAGTGAAAGTAAAAGTTGGAAAATTTGCAGCCAAACTGACTGAGCATATGTTCCCAAAAAGCCAGGAATAACTTGGTGGCTTTGTAATATAGCAGCAACACACCTTGTAAACTATTCTTTTTCTCCACCTTGTTTATATGGCAAAGGAATCCTTTCAGCTGCCAGTTTTGAATAATGAATATCATACTGTATCATTGATACTGATATTTAACCGAGTTTGTCTTCAGGTTTAAGTTGGATGAATGAATACTACTTGCCCTGAAAACATGTTTGTTGCTTTTTATCTCGCTGCCTAGATTGAGATATTTTTACTGTTTTCTCTACATAAGTGACAGTGAACCAATTCATCCTAAGTAGGCTCCTTTCTGTCATTTGCATTGATTTTATTTGTGTATCATCAATAAAGATTTATGTTAATGCTGGAAAGAAATAACAGAAGAAGAAAGAAACTATCCTGTTGTTTGGTTTATAATCTAGTTGTAGAGATAAGAAACATACAAATAAACAAACAAAAAAACCAAAAAACCAAACCCTGAGAACATTTGAAGCATACAGTCTGTCAGATGTGTACCTTCAGAACAGAGAAGAGGCAAAGGCTTTGGTGGCTGGCTACATGAGTCAGTTTAAAGCTTTAGGGAGGTGAGAGCCATTGAAAGGGAGTCCTGAATCTGGTAGGGAAGTTAGTGCATTCCATGAGACCAGAGTCGAGGAGAAATGATGTAAGAAAAGCATTGATTTGGGAAGCCTTATGGTAGTCAAAATAGCCTTCTTCAGGTTAAGAGTGTGGGAAGTGGAACGAAGTAATTCTGGAAAACTGTGTGAAACCCCTTGCAGAAGGCTTGTTGAATGTATTTTAACTAGAAAAGAATTGGGGTCAATATAAATGTCCTCCCCACACTGTGTCATCAAGGATGGTGTAGCAAAATGCATCCTTTCCAACTCTGGTGGTGGGTATTTGGCAATACATATCATTAAGCCTTAAAATATGTAACCCTTTTGTCCTAAGGAGATAGAAGGATCAGTGGCCAGAGATTGTATTACAAGGCTGTTCTTGTCGGCACTGTCTTAAGGTAGTGACATTGGGAACAACTCCAGTGTTCCACACACTGAACTGACGAAGTAGGTTAAAGAATATCCACGCTGTGTGATAAATGCGCTGATGGAACTCAGTATTGCTAGAAAGACACTCGTCATACATTGTTAAGTGAGCAAGGTAAGTTAGATAGCAGTATTCAGAGTATGATTACATATTGGGGGGAGGGTTAAATCATGTTTAAGAAGACACTAAAATTTATGGAATTATATACACCCAGTAGTACTAAGAGTTATATTTGGATGACAGATAATGAGTGATACTTACTTTTTGTACTTATTATTCATCTATGTTTTTTATTTATCAAAAATTAATACTGATTTTTAAGAAAGGTTTGGAAAAAGAAAAGTATGGGGGAATGTAGCGGGTGACTAATTTGAATGCGTACTGAGAGGAAAATATCTAGGCCCCAAATGAGGTGGTCTGACGGTTCCACCTCAGAATGAGAGGTGATGGTGAAGATAAGGCTGACTATCAGATTTGAATGAGAGAACTTATGCAAAGTAGCTACACTATTCTTGCATATAGCAGCAGTTAATCGAGAAATGTGAGTACCTTTAAGTACTACCCAGAATGTAGTGTTGATGGGTCTTGATTAACTTTCATTTTGCTGGGGCATCCTTCTATGTTTCAGTGTCATTTAATAAATAATAATGATAATAATAAAGGTTAACATTTATTAAGTAAAAAAAAATTCTTCAAGGCATGGTATTGTTTTGAATAGCTGTATCTATTTGTGAAAGGCTGCTGGATTTTCTTACCTGCCTCTGCTGAAGCAACCTGTTCACAGAGCCTCTGGAACTCAGCAAGTCCCAGATTTCTACCTCTGTGCTTTCTTCCTGCATGCCTCAGACCCAACTCCAAATCCCTGTCTGTCTACCTCCCCTCCCCTCCCCCTCTCTTCCCCTTCCTTCCCATCCCTTCCTGTTCTCTCCCCTCCCCTTCCATATTGCAGGTTATAAGGAGCATAGATGTTATGATATAGCTGCTTTTTCATTATTTTCCTTTTGTGAGACTAGGTCTAAGTCTGTAGCCCTAGCTAGCATAGAAATCATTATGTAAACCAGGCTGGCCTCAAATATACAGCAATCCTCAGCCTTTTTAATGCTGGGATTACAGGTATGTATTCACGCCATGCCATGATAGAGTTTTTAATGCCCACACGGAGAACCAAGCCTAAGGCTTTATTCTTAGTTGGTCCCAATAAATGAATGAAATCTAAAAATAAGTAAAAAAAAATCAAACTTCTTGGAATAAAATACTTACTGTGGACTTAACACATTTTTTAAAACCATCGACATTGCCATAAAAGATAGGGCTAGAAAATCTCAGGATCTTCACTCCTTCGGGCTCTTCAAGCTGGCGTTTTAAAAAAGGAGGAGAGAGGGAGGGAGAGAAGAGAGGATTGAGAGAGGGGAGGGAAGAGAGGATGGAGGGAAGGGAAGAAGGGAGGGAGGAACGGAGAGGTTAAACAAATCGACACCTCAGGTCTTCTACTGAAGTTCTGCCTGTTGTGGTGAAATGGTAACTCACAAGGGGACCAGCAGCACTGCTGGCTTCTCTCAGATGGGGAGTCATGAGGTAAGAAGATGCCCAGAATCAGGAGCCATGGAATCAGAGTCAGAATCAGACTCTCATAGGCAGGGTCTGCTGCTACCCAGATGAAGAAAGTGGCTCTAAAGGCAACATGACTCCAGCCTCCACTACTGACAATTTTAATTTTGCTAAAACTCTTTGGCAAGGGGTGGGGTGGGGAGTTATCAAAGGGATCAGGAGGTGGGGGTCAGAAACTTTACCGGTGCCATGTTTTTTTCTTTGTTTGTACCCTAACACAGAGTGGCCACTCCAAGAGTGAACCCCATAGATCCAGAGTCTTCTGGTTTCAAGCAGTCACAGCCCTCTCAGTCCACCCTTTGACTCTGAAAACACCTCTGTCGGGAAGATTGAGTAACTTGGGCAAAGTCTTGCCAAGAAGGAGCTTAGAATCTGGAGCTCCCAAACTCGAGCTAGGCTTCCCTGTTAAACCACATAGCTGAACTGTGGAACCGAGTGCGTATCTCCTTTACAGAAGACGACTAGATTCCTGTGCTTCTGAAGGCACACTGCTCTGTTACTGTGGCATATTTTACATGGCCTCCTCATCTCCAGCACCTGAACTAGTGCTTCAGCTCTTGATGATACTTGGGTGAACATTTACAGAATAGTTACGGAAGTAAACTAAATAGCAGTCATAGAATTCCAGGTTGAATATACAGTAAGCTTTTTGTTGTTGCTTTTTTTTTTTTTTTTTTTTTTTTGAGACAGGTCTCTTTATGGAGTCCTAACTGTCCTGGGGCTCACTATGTAGACCAGGCTGGCCTCATACTTCAAAATTTAACTAGTATTGTCAGAATTTCTGTAATTGATATTAACAAAAGGCACATTGAACCCCAAGTTCTCAAGTCATTCTCAGTTTGCTGATGAACTTTCCCAATAGACATCTTCTTGGCTTGCACCTAGCAGGCTAAAAGCGAAATCTGTTGACTCCTTGAGTTCCAGGCTAGCAAGCCCTCCTGTGACAAGCGTTTTACAAAGGCACTTACGTTTTTGTAATGTGTGACACTTTTATAGATGTCTGTGCTGGGGACACTTCCAAGGCTGTTCCATGATGGGCTGCAAGAAGGGAAATGAACATCAGCATTTTTTTTTTGCAACAGTCACTTTTTCAACTAAAAAGTTAAAAAGAAATAACAGCTATGAAAGAGAACATCATTCTGGTGCTTTGGACTCTGTCTTTATTGCAAATGACATTTTCCTGTATCTAACTCTGAAATGAACAGCTGGTGTTTGCGTGGAACTGAAGAAAGAGGAAGTAACTGTGAGCAGCTTCTGATGGCTGGGGGATAATGAGCACTTTCTGTGCATAACGATTATAGGGGAAGTGCCAAGCTTTCTCACATGGTAAATCGTCTAGAAGCCCGACCATAACTCCAAATGACCAGCACAGTTATCTTCATTTTTATTAGTTCTAAAATGGTGTTCCAGGGAGTTAGAGACAGACACGCACTGAGTATAGGGCTTATAGCCTTCATCTTTAACATATAGGTCTGTGGTTTCTTCTTTGTGACTTACAGCAACCTCTTGATGGAGTATGGTATCTATAAGAGATTAGATTCGTCTCTTGTTGTAGAAGCAGCAGCAGGGTGAGATGAGTCCTGCCTGCTGACCAGACCACTGATTTCCTGTTCTGGGTGAGATCAGACAAACTCCATGTCCTGCCTGCTGACCAGACCCCTGATTTCCTGTTCTGGGTGAGATCAGACAAACTCCATGTCCTGCCTGCTGACCAGACCACTGACTTCCTGTTCTGGGTGAGACCAGACAAACTCCATGTTTCTCCAACTGTGACTGGCAACACACGCTGAATGCAGCCCCTGCAGAAGGACTGCCTGTTTGAGGCCCTTTCAGTATTGTGCTCTCTGGATCCAGATTATAATTACTGGAAATAAATACTGTGAAGGGTGTTACTTTTCATTGGGTAGGATACTGTTTACCAAACCAGTAACTAAATCATACCACCAAGTTTTCCCTTGGTTCATAGCACTGAACTCATTTTTAGGTTAAAGCTTGTCAGTAGTTATTCTTTGTCTCAAAAAATAAAACATCTTTCTCAAGTGGACTCAAAACAACAGAACACTGAGCACACACTCAACACAGGAGGCAAAGTCATCTACGGCTTCTTCTCTATTCCCTAGAAGCAAACTGGGCCCTCTGGAAGCTGATGAATCTTTTCATCACCCTGTTCTCTTAGGGTGCTGAGGGAGATAGCCACAGGCTTTTCAAGAGGGCACCACCATGCCAGGGGAGGGAGGGAGGGCAGAAAGTTGGTGAGTGGAATAGGAGAGGTGAACCCATGCTAAGCTGAAGATATCTATGTCAGTGATTTTCCAGGAGTCTTCTTTCATCACTGCCAAGCGCAGGCAGAGAAGAAGCCAGATGTCTAGAAAGGCAAGGGAAAACTAAAGGAGAGGGCGGCTGTGTTTCCCCAAGTCCAGGTGGACACATAACAAAAACCAAAGTCAGAACAAAACCATCACCACCACAATCTGCCTTCAGCTTGCCTCACCTGTCCTCATAGGCTGTTCCACCATGTGACTCATAGCTCTCCTGCTCCCACCGAGCATATGAACTAATCTTATTTACTTCACATAATTGGGCATGTGCCTCATTTGTCAGATTTGAATGAATCCTGGCTGTAATAACTGTTTTTAAAGTTCTCAGTTACATAATGAGTTACTAACTTCAAAAAAGTAAAACAGGTTAGAATATATTGAGGAGTTGACTTGTTGTTTTATGCTGGTGCCCAGTTCTGTGCCTGGTGCCCAGTGCCTCTAATATTCTCCCAATTTAAAAATGACGTAAACAAAGCAAACCCAGTCTTTGGCTGATCTATGTATCCCCCCACTTTAGCACAGCCAAAGGAGAACAGAGTGGAGCATGTGAGGAAAGGCATAGATTCAGGGTGAGCTGCATTGGGGTTCATCTGCCAATTAGTAACTGTAAGCATTAAAAACGATCTTTACATTTCCTGAGCTTAAACTTTCTCACCTATAGAGTAAGACTAATCAGAGATATTCAGCCTTGTAAAGTGCTATGTGTATGCATCATATAATCACTCAATGTATAATTTTTAAAAAAGTAGTATCTGTTTATGGAAACAAGCTAGGAAAATTCAGGCTAGGCTGTCTGTGAGATACCTGTTTTTTGGTTTGTTTGTTTGTTTGTTTGTACTTACAACTGAACTCTCAGGACCACAGTCAGTAGTCCAAATAAAAGGCCAGCTAGCAAACCCAGGTCTAGTCCCAGAATGATGGACATTACGCATGTAAACACCCAGATAACCTAGAAGGGAATGGAAATGAAAAGAATTACATTTCATTACAAAGAATAACAATCAAGTGATTGGAAACAAACTGTCCCAGAGGTATAGGACTGTCACACAGATGACATCAAGGCTCTGGTTTCTCGATACTACTCGAATTTGCTCTAGGACTCCAAAAGTTCAGACTAGCCTTAGGAGATGGGGCATAAGGATGTGACAGGAGCAGCCAGGACCAAGCTCTATTTAAAGACAGATATGTGGAGGGTCACTTACAGCATCAGTCTTATTCTGCCTCCACAGACAAGGGACGTCACACACCTGCATGAACATCCCTTTCAGGTTAGCAATGACGACGGCTGCCAAGACGGACTGCGCAGAGAGAATGAAGGCTGTGTTATTCAAGGCAAAGGTTTCCATGTGTTGATTTCTAATCTCCAGCTCTTTCCCTGACAACAGTCTGGTGAAGAGGAACTGGTACACAGAAAAGCAGGGTTTTTACCTTCTGCAAGGGTTCCAGAAGCTTCCCCAGGGCAACAATGGCGATCATTACAATCATAGCTGAGATGATGCCAGCAACCTGAAAGATACTTTCTGTGAGGTGGACTCACCCTGCTCACCACAGGTATGCATAGGAATCTGCACACAGACACAGTTACTTCTTCCTCATCTCTCCCTTTCTGCTCAGGATTTAGAAAAATGAGCATTATTTGCTAGGCCCGTGCAATATGAAAAAAAAAAACAAAGCAATATATGCCCATTATTGCTGAGAAATTAAAGAAAATATGAAAACAAAGCCTGACAGCGCAAGGCTGGTTTGCCTTGGATTTCGTTTGAGTGGCTGGTATGGGTGTGAATTAGGAGGTCATCCTTCTGGTTGTTTGCCGTGACATGAGACGCAGACCCTCATATTTTGGGGAAAGAACCCTTATGGTGCATTGTGGAAACAGCAGCCATAATGGTTACTCACATTGTATCTGTAGTTCAGAATTGCCATGAAAACCCCCGAGAAAATAAATTAAGCCATCTTATCATAAATCCACAGTGTCACATTGGCACACCACAGCTCCTGTCTCCTCTGACAGTTGTAGACACAGGCTGCAAACACAGGCTGCAGCAGCGGAGCAATCATGGAGGAAAGGAAGCTCAGAACTTTACCTTCGCTGACAAGAAAAGCTCTGCTAAGATCCATAAATAGTTAGGAGAGAGGCTGAGGGGGTAGGGCCTATTCCTGGTCTGATCAGTTGGCTTGGCCAATGAATTCTTTGCTGAGACATCGTGGGGAATAGCTGAGCAGACTAGAGACTCTGAAACAAAGGAGAAGAGACAGGGAACCAGAAGCAGACCAGTCAGAGCGAGGGAGGGGAGAGACGACTGAGCGCAAGCACTGCCCTGCGTAGTGTCCTAGCAAATGTAAGAGGAGAACATTCGTTCCATCTGGTACACTGGCCGCTTATGTTTACACGAGTCAGCCTGGGTAATATCATGAATACATAGGTATTAAAAATCTCACTTTGCAAGCCTAACCTTTTTTCTGTCATCTTCTGACTCCGTGGTCCAGGTTCCCAGCACCAAGGTGAACAGTTCCCTCTTTTGTCTAAGAAACTAGTATCCTCCTCCTCCTTCCCTTCCCTACACCTTCCTCCTCCTCCCTTCATGCCCTCCTCCTGTTATTTAACTTGTATTTATTGAACCGCTTTCATCTAGGCTCTAGGGATTGGTAACAGGTATATTTGGAGATAGGGAAAACTGTCCGCACAACTCTGGGCAGGAGATTCACCATTCACCAAGGATGTATGATAGTAAGTCTCTAATTATAGAGCCAAGGCTAAGTTTGATCACAATATTAAAACCTATAAGGGATTAGTTACTTGAATTTACTGAATAAGGCTGCTTTGTGGGAAAAACATAGATTTTATATCTTTGAGAAGATTCAATTTCTGGCAAGTTAATTATTGTTAAGAGAAAGGGTAGTTAGAACTATGGAGTAATTTGTATTAATTACTGTTCTATGAGCCAGCAGAAGTCGGAGTAGGGGTGAGAAAAAGGACAGAAAGGAAGCCTACAGTTAAACACAGTCAAAGTCTACCAACACTCATTCTTCTGTTTGTTCTTCAACATCTGTATGTTTGGCACTGCTTAGGTGCCAGGCCCAGCACACGTGTTAAGGGGCCATTCCTCCCCAGGAGTAGAGTAATCCGCATTTAGGAGTCAGTGTGTGCTGGGGCTTTGCATTGTCTCATTTAATCCTCACAGGGTCCCTTTGAGGTGGGTATAATTAGTAGCCCCATCTGTGCTAAAGTCGAGGCTCAGGCACAAAATAAGAGAAACCGCACAGGAGGACTTGATAGTCTTTTGGTCACAGGTCCCTGGATTTCAGTCCAAGGTCTTAGACTTTTAACCCTAGAACTTAATATGCTTTTCAGTAATTAACTATCAAGCCATTTCTGCTTGTTTCTTCCTTCAGTGCTGAACTTCTGGCATCCTTCCCTCCTAAATATAATACATGCCAGTGTGTGGCAGAGGATATTAACTTACCAGAACACCATTATCCCCGAGCCCTTTGCCAAGGAGGGCACTTTACACATTATTACTGGGGCAGGCGGCCCATGCCTTGTCTAGGAGATAGCAGCAGGAGAATGGCCATGAGCAGCTCAGTTCTAGCTGCACCCACTCGGGGCCACGTGTCCCGGGGAGCTGGTCAGTGCCTACCTCTATAGTGAGCAGCAGGGATCCAGCTGCTGACAGCTTCTGCTAAAACAGATGCAGCTTTGAGACTGCCCCTTGACAGGAGAGCTCTGCTTTTGCTTCTTAGTGCTTACTGGGTTCCTTTACCTGTTTCCTCCATGCCAGAAATAACTTCAAAAAGCTTATAAAAAATTCCTCTAAAAATTAAAATTAAATTTTGCTTCAATGTAGTCAAATAATTGGGAGAGGCCATTTTAAAAGGAGAGAAGCATCATGCATATGTGGTGATGTCATCCGTACTATGGTGACACCATCTGTATTGTGGTAATGTCAGCCACATTGTGGGGACATCAAATGGGCTGTGAGAACCTTTACAGCTCTTCCTGGCAAGTCACTGCTGGAGTCATTGTTTTCTTGGTATTTCCTTTCATTTTTATGTCTCTGCTTTAACAAAACCCTTGACAACTGTATGTGTTTTACAACAGTTTGGCTTTATTCTATTTTATAGTCTTGGACCTCTTCTTTTTTCTTCCTTCCTTCCTTTTTTTCTTTCTTTCTTTTCTAAATAATGTTTTTTCTTACATTAGGAAGCTAAAGCTTGACAGAAATGCAGTCCTGGTATAAGGCTTGTCTTTGGTCTGCATGGAGCTGAGTCTGGTTTCAAGCAGACTCTGAGTATGTTTCTTGGGCTTTCTGGATGGCTTCAGGAAGCATTAGCCAGTTTTATGGTTACCTTGTGAAAGCAACAACTAAAAGCCATATTTAAGAAGCAAAATTAAAGCCATAATCAGAACTTCAAGAACAGAAATATTACTAAGGAAGAAATGCCAAAATATTACAGCAAAAAGTCTTGTCTAACAAATTATTGTTCTGTGGGACTAAAAACCTCTAGAGGAAGTTGCTCACTTTTGAAAAGGAAATATGAATGGGAAGTACAATAACTAGGGGCTGGAGAGAGTTCGGTGGCTAAGAGCACTCACTGGCTGCTCTTCTAGAGAGGAGCTACAGTGCACTCCCAACACCCACATGGTGGCTCACAGCCATCTGTAACTCCAGTCCTGGGGCATCTGGCACCCTCTTCTGGGGTCCCAGGCCACTGCACATATGTGGTGCGCAGATATATGTTCAGGTAAACACCCACACACATCATTTAAAGACAATATTATAGCTTACAAAGCTGCAAAGAGCTTCATTTTCCCACTGTGGTGCTGGAGATGGACCTCGGCACCTCAAACACACAGAGCAAGTGTTCTACACTACACTGTATCCTCAGCTTCTTCTCCCTTTTTCTTTTGAGACAGGGTTCCACATCATTATCACAGATGGTCTCAAATTCATTCTGGAACCCAAACAGAGATGTCTTGTACTTGGGAACCTGGAGTCCATCCTGCCTGGATTGACCAAGCAGCTTGAATTACTGGCCTGTGCTACCACCAGGCTAAGCTTTGGGAAATGGTTTATGTTTTTTCTTTTAAACCAGGATCTTGTTCTCCCTAGATTGCAAACTGATAAACAGTATTGTTGTTTATTTACTAATGAGTGTGACTGTCCCAGGCGAGTGTAGTTATCATCCAGGTGAGAACTGACACGTAAGGATTTGGCAATCACAGTTTCAGGAGACCGTACATGTTGCTTTTTAAAAAGTCTGTTCTTTATTGATTTTTATTGAGCTCTACATTTTTCTCTGTTCCCCTTCCTGCCTCTCCCTTCCCCTTCAACCCTCCCCCTAGGTCCCCGTGCTCCCAATTTACTCAGGAGATCTTGTCTTAAAAAGTCTTTTATAAGGGTTGGCCATGTCAAAGAGACGAGACCCAAGTTGGATCAGATGAGGAAGCACAAGTCCCTCTCTCTGAAGGCTAAGTGTCATATTCAGTTCTTGTGGAAGCCTCTCTGAGCCATCATCCCCTTCCTGTTCCCCACTGTCACTCATACCTGTGTCTTTCCTCCAGTGCTCTCCTGGACAGCCGTTCGAGACAGAGCAGTGGTGGCCACAAAACAGGAGAAGAATCCTGAGAAGACATTGCTTATGCCAAAGGCAACAAATTCCTAAGGGAGAGACTGGGTTACAGTGATGTTGCCAAGAGAATGCTCACCGGATTCTCACCAAGTGGCCATCAGGATGGCTTAGTGGATACAGATATTTGCCTTGCAGACCCAATAACATGAATTCAAGTTCTAGAACCATGCAAAGGTGAAGAGAGAGAGAGAGAGAGAGAGAGAGAGAGAGAGAGACCTGACTCCAGAAAGCTGTCCTCTGACCTCCACACATGTTCTGTGGCACACACACATGCACACATCATGTGTATACATACAATAATCATTTATAAGGGAAATAAATTACTGAGAGTTACTTGAATACATGGAAAGTGTTTTGTCTAACTTGATAGATGACTTTTATGTTACTTTTGACCTGACTGGACTAGCATTTTTAATTAGTGCTTGTAACAGCTAGTTTTGTGTCAGCTTGACACGAGCTAGAGTAATTTAGAAAGAAAGAACCTCATTCGAGAAAATACCCCTACCAGACTGGCCTGTAACTAGACATCCAAAGCATCTTCCTTCCTTCCTTTTTTCCTTCTTCCTTCCTTCCTTCCTTCCTTCCTTCCTTCCTTCCTTCCTTCTTTCCTTTTTTCCTTCTTTCTTCCTTCTCTCTCTCTCTCTCTCTCTCTCTCTCTCTCTCTCTCTCTCTCTTTCCTTCCTTTCTTTATTTTGGGAGAGTGGGTTCTAGACAAGATTTCTCTGTGTAGCCCTGACTGTTCTGACTAACTCTGTAAACAAGACTGACCTTGAACTCAGAGATCCCCTTGTCTTTACCTCCCAAGAGCTGTAATTAAAGGAGCGCACCACTACTGCCTGGCTTGTAGGGCATTTTCTTGATTAACAATTAATTGGAGGGCTCATCTTACTATAGCAGTGACACCCCTGGGCTGGTGGTCGTGGGGGCTATAAGAAAATAAGCTGAGCAAATCATGGGGAGCAACTAGTAAACCACGCTCTCCTAAGGCCTCTGCATCAGTTCCTGTCTCTAGATTCCTGCGTTGAGTTCCTGCCCTGACTTCCCTGGGTGATAGACTGCAAGCTATTAACTGAAATAAAACCCTTTCTTCCTCAGGTTGCTTTTGGTCATGATGTTTTTATCAGAGCAATAAAAACCCTGACCAAGACAGTGTTACTTTAGCTTACTTCTTAAGAAACAAGGTGGCTTAGCTTGTATATTTCAAAAAAAATGTTTAATTATCAAGTACAGGAGAGAAAACAGTTCAATAAAGGCCAGTGAAAGAAACCATCTGTTTCCTTAGGTGATACCTAAATTTCTCCCCAGTTGTGTTTCCTTATCTTGCTTTTAGTCTTATAAACTCAGCTCAACAAATAGGTGACCATACCTGGTTTCCGTCGATGAGATAATCATACTTGGTGCCATAGACTTTTCCTACAGACACTGCAATAGCATAAGCCACCACAGCAATGGAAAAGGATGCAGCCAGCATGTCGGAAAACAGGCCCACGGACGGAAGTGCAGGAGGCAAGAACCTAGTAAGTGAAAAACTGTTGTGAAGATTTGACAGCTTTTCCCCAACCTTTGTGTCCACTCAGTCACATGGTACACACAGAAGGGAACAAATGCACATGAGATGCGTAAGAAGGAACATCTGCTTTTCTAGTTTTTAACCAGAAGATAGTGCTAGGTTACTGGCTGCTTGAGAGTGTTTTTGTTTTTGTTTTTATGCCCCTGACATGAATAAATCTGTCACTATGGGTCCATGCCACTGCACAAGTAACATTTTTCCTCATACAATTTCACCTTCAAGGTCTTTGGTGATACAGGAGATTCTCAGTATATTATAAAGTTTGGTCTGTGTGAAAAAAATGTCAGTTTTCTTGAAGAGAAAGAATTTTTTTTTTTTTTTTTTGGTTTTTCGAGACAGGGTTTCTCTGTGGCTTTGGAGCCTGTCCTGGAACTAGCTCTGTAGACCAGGCTGGTCTCGAACTCACAGAGATCTGCTTGCCTCTGCCTCCCGAGTGCTGGGATTAAAGGCATGCGCCATCACCGCCCGGCTTGAGAAAGAATATTTGATACTGAAAGAACTCAGCTAAAAATCCTAAAGAGCGTGACATTTAAAAATCTTAATTTTCAGAAGGAAAAAACCCTCATCCCACATTAAATTTATGTAATTATAATCATCCTGCACAGTCACTAAAATAACTGATTGTGTTTTCACAGATTATATAGCAAAACTAGAAAGATATAAACACAATTATGAGATTAATTCCTAAATTTAAAAGTTTGGAGGAAGAGCTTCATTTACCTATAGAATGTCCATATAGTACAATCCCCAAAATCTCCAGTCATTAAAACAAGTCCCTCCACCTGTGTATCTTATAATTAAATAAAGATAAAGTGGAAGTGGGAGTTTTAGAGACACACAGTAGAGAAATTTTGAGTTAGTGACCTCAGAGTACTAGTGAACCCGTCTCTCTCATTTTGATATGAAAACTGCAGCTTGGAAGAGATAAATGAGTGGCTTGAAGTTTTAGTGGGTCCATGTTGGAGACTGGGTAATTGGATAGTAAGGCCTGCCAGGACTCTGCTGTTGTGAAGACTTGCCCCCAGAAGAGTTAATTTTCAGACTTCTCCTCTATCCTTCTCCTATCCTACGTATAGGCCCCGGAATAGAACCCAACTGTAGACAGTCGGCATGTTACAAACAACACACTTGAGTGACACAGTATTAAATCACCTGCTAGTCTAGATTTCATCTTAGATATCACTTAATAGGGTGCTTCCAAGACCCAGTCAAGTTTACTTCAGGTAACTAGTGCTCTGTCAAAGCCAAACCCTGAAAAGGTTTTAGTTTTGATAGTAGTGTAATGCACACTGGCTCCGTGACTGTAGTGTTCTCCAAATGTTAGCCAATCCTTAATTACTAGGGTTTAAAACTGTGAGGTATGAAGCCAACGGACTTCAGTCATTGAGTGACTTTATGACTTTGGGCATGTTGTATAAACTTAATAAATTGTTTCATTGGCTATCATAGGATGACTGTGCCCTCTTCTCATAAAATTTAATGAGATATTATATTTTAACTAGTTAGTTCCTTGTGACTAGTGGTGCTCAGCCTAAGCTGGAAGAACCTAAACCCACCATATTCCCATCATGACTTCTGCTTCTTGCTCTACTTCAACGGTGTCAACTATTTGTCCAAAGTGAATTAATGGAGACCCTGTCTGCACATCTTCTAATAACCCCAAGAATATATCTTGTTACCTGAAATAACACTTCCTAAACTACAAAGTCACCCCAGGGGCCTGTTAGCCCTAGCCAACCCAGTCTGACCAATTCATGAAGGAAAGGGAGCATATGAACACATACTTATCCTAAAGACATGAGGATGGGGAACAGTACTCCCCAAAAGGGCCCAAGAACACATAAAAGAGGAGTAATGTAATAAGCATGCTAATTGTATGTTTCACTTCAGGTTGGATGTAAATGTTTGGCAAATGTTTCCCAATCCAGCTAAACAAAGGCGGCAGATCACAGGAGAAAGCCATCTTCTTTCTATCATGCTGCCTTTCCTGGGCCACACTCCAAGTTCTCTGCAAAGGACACCAAGTGAAAACGGTAGCAATAAATACTATGACAGCACCTCTGTTACTGACTAGGAAGAGAGGAACCCGTCACTTAGAGTAGAGACAATATAAGGTGGTAAAGAGAGTGAAATTCAGAGCACAAAAGTACACACACACACACACACATCATGGAGACAGGTGGAGTAGAGGAAAAGCACTTGTTGAAATGGATGAAAAACTGGACACACCAAACACAGCAGAATGAAGATCAGCTGTATCAGGAGAGAGGCAGGCTGTGACTGGAGGGACAGACAAAGTTCCGGTTTGAGTGAATTCCTGTGGGACACTAAGGCACTGACTAGACAAAATGGGTTGTGTTTTTTAACCAACAAGGAGTAGAGAGGAAAATAGAGCCACCTGCTGATCTCCAGCCCTCTTCAGCTCCCACTCATCTGCTGATAAGGTTTGTCAGTCTTCCCGTCTCTACATTCTGTTTCATCGCTGTGACCACTCTCCTTATCTCTTACATTACTGGAATGGATTCCTCTTCTGGTTGCTTAGCTGTTTTTAATTCACTGTGTACAGTACTAATAAAAGTGATTTCTCTCATGCCTTAAAACCCTCCAACAGTGCCTCAAAATGCCAATATAGACACAAAGATATCAGGCCGTCCGTGGTGGCTTCCATGCCTGCGCTCACCTCTCACCTCCTCTGCCTACTTTATGCTCCGGTTGCAATGAACTCCTCGTTGTACATCCAAAGTGCCATGCGCTTTGTTATAAGCTGCATTTTTTATTCAAGCATCCTTACTTACTAATTCCTATGTTAATGTCATCCTTAAAATATCCAGAAGTTGTCCTTTAATGCATAATGAGCTAACCTCCACTACACAGCACTGATTCCCGGAGGATGACTGTCCTCACTAGACTGGGAGCCCACTGAACATCCGGCACACTGCCTACCCCTTGGCAGGTGCTTCCACACAGACAGCTGAGGATATAAGTATCTGGAGTATTGCTTTGTGTACAAATGGTAGATGTCAAATAGACATAGTGGGTTACTTTAGTCATCTGATGGGAGTCTTGATTTCCAAAAGATAAGCATAATTGTCTCTTCAGTCTAAAACTGAGACATTCAGGAGAGCTGGAGAACCACAAAGCAAACAGAAATATTAGAAGTATTTTGATGGAAATGTACTGAGGCAAGACATTTTTAAGATTATCTTTTAGTACTAGAGTACAGAAAGTAAGGGAAAAATGCTCTAAAAATCAAATCAAAACCAACAGTCTGCCATAGTGTAATATGTACAGTGTGACATGGGAGCTATCAAAAGAGCCTTCAATGGCCCCATATAGACAACATGATCAACAAAAACCTAGCATTCTAGTGTAACTCAGAGTATGAACTAACTACTCATGAGGTCATGCTGAGTAAATGAGAAAAGAAACAAGCTTACGAAGGAAAAATAGTCACCATTTGGGGCTATTCAATGGGAAGTTGTCAAGCTTATGTGGAGAGGACAGAGTCACTATTTGGGGCTATGCAATGGGAGGTTGTTCTGGGGACTGAATGTCACCCTGACCTTCAGAGAATCAAAAGGAAGCTGCCAATAATTTGACTGGAGATACAGGAAGTTCCTTTTCTTACCCTGGTGCTGTCCTCAGCCCCTAAAACATTCTCATTCCCACTCTGGTTTTCTCATCCTTCCATGTCACCCTTTCCTTCACAGATGTGTTAACATCATTGTTTTAGAATTGTGCCTGTGCCACCAAGTTAGATAGTCAGAACCTTTCTTGTGGCTTATTTGTAGTGATATGGCTTAGGAAGCTTATTCCCTGCACAAATGTTTTCAGAGAGCCCTCTGTAAGATAGATGCTATTCTAGAGGGAGACATAGCTTAATGCCACAAGTGGGGCCACTACCATGAAGGGTCCCCCAGAACTTAGTTAGCAAGCAGAGGACTAAGCTTGACTGAACCAAAGGGCAGAAGGCTAAAGATCCTGTAAAGGGGAGTGGCCAGGAATTTCTTCAGAGCACCAGAAAAGACAATGTGAGGAAAGGGGAATCCCCACAGCAAGTACTGGAACAGGGACTCACAGGGCAGGCATGTGCTATAGTCCATCTCCGGCCTGGGAAGTATCTGTGACTACACAAGTATCTGTGACTACAAAACAACTCAGTCTTTGGGGTCGAAATTCCGCAGCTCAAGTTTCTTTGCAACTTTGATCGTTGCTTTTCTTCCGGCCGTAGCCTTTACAGCCTTAATGCTGATCTTCTAGTGTAAATTTTCTCAAAGTTACCTGATCAGAAGACTCACTTGAGACACTTTTGAAAAAGAATCGTTTCTAGGCCTCTCCAAGCAGTCTGAATACATAGGTTTGAGGTGTGAAGCAGGAATTTGTGTTAAAACAGGTGAAGGGTGTTACCAAAGGCACATTTCTAACACTTGAATGGGTAATATGCAGTATAAGCTTCATGAACCAGTTGTTTTTTAGATATCTTTAAATTGGTATTGGAAACGCTGTAGGAGTTTTACTTAAATGAGACCATTTGCTGTGGAAGCACTGAGAAGTCTCGGTTACAAGCATAGAAAATCTAGGACAACACGGGCCATCATTAATTGAAAGGAAGAGAAGCTACCGCTTATTGACTGACCTCAAGCCTACTTACAAATGGTGTAGTCAGTATTATAGATGTGGTGAATATGTACGCTTCCTCTTGACTGTAGTATGAGTTACTTCATCTGTTCTGCATTTTTATGAGAGCTCTCAGTGGCATTTCACAAGCTTGAGTTGAGGCTTCAGCTGTGTGATTACCGATGTCTTACAAAAGAACTTTCCCAGGGTCACACAAGCTGACAGTGACAGGGATGGATTAAGGACCTTGGCCTTTTACTCTTCTAATTCACAAAATGTCTAAATATATGTAAAATTTACATGAAAATAATGCAACTTATTTATAGGTATGAGAGATAGTATTTTTATGTGTGGTTGATTACATGGTAGGGAATTGAAGCCAAACAGCCTAGATTCCTTAAACAAATTGTTCATAATGCAATCAATGCTAATTGTGATTATGCTCCTGTTACACTATAATTATACATACGTATTTTAATCAGGAGTCTGGTACTGAATGTACATGTCCTGTCACACTGTAAGAAAACGGAGCATGTATGGTCTGCTTTTATCGACCATCCTGAACTTGATCTCCAAATGCACTGCTCATCTGATGCTTTGTGCACATGGTATTTCTTCAAGATCCCACGAAAGAAAGATTATCAGTGGTGAAGCGAAACTGGCAATAAAAGTTTCACTTAAACAAAACACTGCCTTAGTTTATTGGTGCTTTCTGAGAGGAATGCCACACTCACCCACTTGGGATGGACTTAACAATGCCAGCATTGTATTTTTTTTCCAAGTCGGCCCCATAGGAAATGGCAGTGGCAATTACTGTCTGAAATAAAAGAAATAAATGGAAAAAAAACAACTCCATTAACTTTAACAATTGCTTGCTTGTCAGCCTAATTAGTGCTGAATTTTATGACCATATATTCTACTTACCACAATCACTTCTATAGGAATAGGAACTGGGATTTTGTGTTTAAATCGGTCATTTAATTCCTTGACAGCCATACAGATGATGATGGTAAGTAACCCAGCAATGAAATCCGCAATATTGGTGTTACCGATATTTTGAAAAATCTCAATTAGTGTCTGTAAAGAGAACAGGGGTGTATATGGCATATACTATACAGACACATACATAGAAGCAGTTCTCCCACATGAACAGTTACATCACACCAAATGGCACATGTGAGTCTTATGCAAAAAAAACCTTAACAATGGGGCAGGTAAGATGGCTCAGTCGGTTAAAAAACTCGCTGACAAGACTGACGATCTTGGTCCTATCCTCAGAAACCGTATGACTGAAGGAGAAAACTGACTCCTGAAAACTGTTCTCTGACCTCCATGCCTTTTCTGTAGCACGCATGAAAATACACATGTACACATAGTACACATATACAAATAAATAAATAATGATTTAAAAATCATAAAAATATGTTGGCTAATACAAGGACCATTAAGCAATAAAATTTCTAAAATACATATTTGCATAAATAAATAATAGAAAACTATTATTAAAGTTATAAAAATGCATTGACTAATACAAGGAACACTGAGAACATGTAATTTCTAACACACATGTACACAGAGCTACTATTTGTGATTAACTTGGAGAATTGATTTTTACATTTTTGTGTTTATCTGTATTTTTTAGGGTAAAATGGAGAATTTTTCAAGGAAAACTGTGGAATGCTATCTTTTACTTACAGAAAAATAAACCAAATTTCTGTCTTAAGGAGGCTGTACAGGTGCTCTTCATAGGTCTATATATAAAGAGTGTTGCTGAAACCAAAGTCTGACAAACTGAAAATTCTAGTTACTTTTCTTTGGTCCCAGTCAACATCCTAAGTAATGTTCTTCCCCCAACCTGAATGATGCAGAATATAGCAATAAAAACCTCCAAAAAGTGTTCCATATGGATATCCATGTGATACTGATCAATACTCTATGGCAAATTAAAACCACTGAACGGGTACATAGGCCAAGTATATATTGTTTAGAAATTATCTTAACACTAAAAGCTGTTCTTTCCAAGTGACAGAGAAGCCAGCTCAAGGAAACTCATTTTGTTTTGTAAACACAAGGACTCTGGGAAACCATAGTCTTCTTCAAGGGTGTCAGTAGGGAGACTTCAAGGCAGAACAGTGGCATCTTTGTTCTTTTGTGCCTCTTAGGTAAGTCATGTCTCAGGGAGGCGTCTCTTAATTCTATAAGACGAGTCTGCCAGTAGCCACTTTCCTTTGAATGAGTCTGTTTATAGTTAGGTTTTAATTTGATATAAAGGAATGGTGCATCTGAGGAGTTAAAACATGTATCTTAGTTTATTTTTACAGATAAGTGAAATACTGTAAATAATTATCATGAGAATCTGGTGTCAGGCGTATAAGGAACATCAATTCATTTTGCCAGCAGCCTCACCTGTCTGGAGTGCTTCCAGGAGTAAGGAGCTGGAGAGTTTTTTACAAGCAAATTTATCTCAGCAAGTTTGGGGCTAGAATTTAGGCATTTAACTTGAAGGAAGCCTTTTCAACTTTCTCTTAGAGAGCATTTTGCTCTCACCTTAAACCCAATATGTCAAGTTAACTCTGCTTTCCAGAGATACTTAACATTGTTTTTGTTTTTTGAAGAAAACGGCCCACACATATGCTCACAAGCCAGTTTGATGAAGGAAATTCCTCAGTTGAGGCTCCTTTTTCCTGGGTGACTCTAGCAAAAGGTATCACAGAAATTAATTAAACCTTTGAATAAAAAGAACCTCTTGGGGCTATAAAGATGGCTCATAGGTTAAGAACACTGACTGCTGTACCAGAGACTTGGGTTTGATTTCCAGCACCTGCATGTGACTTAAAAACATCTGTAACTTGATCTAAACAGAGAACTCTCAACAGAGGAATCTAAAATAGCTAAAAGACACTTAAGGAATGCTCAACATCCTTAGCCATCAGAGAAATGCAAATCAAAACAACTCTGAGATTCCATCTTATACCTGTAAGAATGGCCAAGATCAAAAACACTGATGACAACTTATACTGGAGAGATTGTGGGGTAAAGGGAACACTCCTGCATTGCTGGTGGGAGTGCAAGCTGGTACAACCCCTTTGGACATCAGTGTGGTGATTTCTCAGAAAATCAGGAAACAACCTTCCTCAAGACCCAGTAATACCACTTTGGAGTATATATCCAAAGGATGCTCAATCGTGCCACAAGGACATGTGCTCAACTATGTTCATAGCAGCATTGTTTGTCATAGCCAGAACCCGGAAACAACCTAAATGCCCCTCAACTGAAGAATGGATAAGGAAAATGTAGTAAATTTACACAATGGAGTACTACTGAGCAGAAAAAAAAATAACAACATCTTGAAATTTGCAGGCAAATGGATGGAGCTAGAAAACATCATTTTGAGTGAGATAACCCAGACCCAGAAAGACACCTATCATATGTTCTCACTCATATGTGGTTTTTAAACATAAAGCAAAGAAAACTAGCCTACAAACCACAATCCCAGAGAACTTAGACAACAATGCGGACCCTAAGAGACACATACATGGATCTAATCTACATGGGAAGTAGAAAAAGACAAGATCTTCTGAGTAAATTGGGGGCATGGGGACCTTGGGAAAGGGTTGAAGGAAACTGTAGAGCTCAATAAAAATCAATTTAAAATAAGAACTAATTCCAGGACAGGCTCCAAAGCTACAGAGAAATTCTGCCTCAAAAAACAAAAGAAAAAAAATCTGTTACTCCAGTTCCAGAGGATCCAGTGCTGTGTTTTGGCCTCTGTAGACACTGTGTAGTCACATGGAGCACATACATGCAGGCAAATACTCACACATAGATTTAAAATAAACCTGAATAAAGTTCCAAGAATCCCTGGTGCATTTTAAATGCTACAAAGAGCAAAATCACACACCTGCATTGAGCAGAGCATGTGACCTATAGCTGCTTGCACTGTGAGCTCAGCATTTCTCGTGGAAAGTTCTACAACAGAAAGTTTAATGTGTAGAGGAATAAATCTCAGCTATATAAATTAAAGTGGCCTGACTGTTGACAATAAAATAAATTCCAAGAAAGGACTTAACAGTAATTATAATTTAATTTTTGTCAGAGTTCTAAATTATAGATCAATATAATTCTGCAGTTTAGCCTAGAATTCTAAACACAGGTCAAATTGAGATATCAGCTACGGCTAATATTTTATCCATTATATTGTTTAAAAAATAAATTTTAAAACCACTTCATTTGGATAATAGTTATCACCATTACAAAGCCATAAGGAAAAACATTTGCTTAATATGTATCTGAGAAAAGGCGCTGGATAACTTTTAGAGTTGACTTTCTTTTAGTTCCTCTCTGTAAGACTGTAACAACCTTTTCCAATCACCTCCCAGCATCTCCTGCTACAGATACTTTCAGGATAGATAGATAGATGATAGATAGATAGATAGATAGATAGATAGATAGATAGATAGATAGATAGATATAGACAGATATAGATAGATAGATAGATATAGACAGATATAGATAGATAGATAGATAGATAGATAGATAGATAGATAGATGATAGATAGATAGATAGATAGATAGATAGATATAGACAGATATAGATAGATAGATAGATATAGACAGATATAGATAGATAGATAGATAGATAGATAGATAGATAGATAGATAGATACATGCTGAATCAAAAAACAGCCTGTGTTGGGCCCCAGAGGTGAGCCTATTTGCTGTTACTCCGCTAAGCAGACAAACTACCAAACTGCCCTCTGGATTCGTCCCTATGCCAATAGAATGGGGCAGCTTCAAGACCTCATCAGAGAAGCCTCTTTGTGCAGTGGTTAACTTGGAAACTCACAATTGATCAAAGACCAGAGAATGAGAGTCAGTAGAGTGTCTTTATCACCATTCCCCGAAGGCTCAGTGAACTACCGAAAAGGGGCAGGGTGAAATAGTGTCTTCTAGAAGTAACAGCACCACTGACTCCTGAACTCACGTCAACTGTGGTTGCTTGCATACGCCCTACTCATTTAAGTCGGGCAGAATCCTGGCGTGAAGTGAGGACTCAGAATTCCTCACCCTTGACTGAGAGGCCACTGACAGCAGATGGATCCTGAAAGAGAGTGGCGAACCACCATGTGGGGCTGGGAATGAAGCCAGAGCTTCTGAGAAAAAACAAAACAAAAGAAAAACAACAACAACAAAATCAAGTGCTCATAAATACTGACCCATTTCTCTAGCTGCAGGACCACACAATATTCAACATTTTCAAATCCACAGAAGTAGAAAGTAGTCGAAACAAGACTCTAACTCCAGTCTGTTGGTGTTAGGTTATGACTGTGAGCCATGGTGCTACTCTTTCTCCATCTATTCTGTTAGCCTGGTATCCAGCCTGCTGCGAGCGAGCACTTGATAACATTTACTAAAGGATGGAGCAATACGCCGCATAGTGAGGAATTATGGCACTGAAACTAAGAACCTTTCACAACCTTGCTCTTTTATAGATGTGTATGGCTATATGTTTCCAGATGCTAATTTTCTAATCTTTTAGCTCAGGCTGACTTCAAATCACTGTGTAGGTGAAGATAGCTCAGAACTTCTGATCCTCCTGCCTTTATTTCCCCAACGTTAGGATTATAGGCATGCATCTTGTGATGGAAGTTAAACCTAGGGCTCACATATGTTTGGCATGCACTCTATCAACCGAGCTACATGCTCAGTTCCTGGGGTTTTTTGTTGTTGTTTTGTTTTGTTTGGGGCAATTTTTTTGATGCTTTTCTGCATGGCTTCATTTCTCCAATCAGAATGACATCATGTTACTATTATTACCATTTCCCAAGCATCTGTAACATACTTCATATAAAGCATATACTTAGACCTAAGAACTTCAAAATCCACTTTGTAGGATCAGATCCTTCTTTTGCATCTCTTTTGCAAGTTGAATCAGCTTTGAATCTAATGTTCCTTTTCACTTATAATTGCTGAGACATTTACATTATGCAGTTTATGGATGCTCATAATTAGAAAAGGATTGAGAGACACATTTCCAATCATTTCATTTTAAAAACAAGACAGAAAAAGAAAGGCTTGAAATAATAATTCCATCATAATTTTTCTGGAACTTGCTGTATGCCATCCCCTGAACCAATTACCCAGCCACTCACCTCTAACGATTCAATGAGGTAGCTGCTATTTGCAGAACCCATTCTGCAATTTCTGCAGAGACGAGGCATGGTGAATTGTTCATAAGGCCAGTAAGTGGTAAAGTCAAAGTTTGAATCTAGACCCCACCTAGCTCCAAACCTGAACTTTTTTTCAGCCACTACCTTATCTGATATGTCTAGGGGTTTATCAGAGGCAATGAGGGACCACAAGGCAAGTCTGTGACATCTCAGCCCTGTCATCTTTATTGCTATGCTACCTCAGATCTGTTATGTTTCTGGCGGAAATTTTGGAGCAGTTAAAAAAAATGACTGTTTGCTTATTTCAGAAATTTCAGTGTTTCGATGATTCTGAGTGTACCCAGAAAATGGATTCTCCAGGTTCCATCTGGAGAGAGGGAACAGTGGTGTCTCTGCAGTGATAACGCAGCACTTACATAAATAATGGAGAGGATGCCATTGTAGTTTTTGGTTGAAACATTGAGCACAATCTTTAGCTGTGACACCAGCACTTGGAAGGCAGCAGCTGTTGTGAATCCACCAACCAAAGGGTCTGCCAAGTACCTCACTATGAATCCAATCTGCAAACCTCCAAATACCAGCTAAAGTAAGAAGAAAGGAAAACGTTAGGTGTTTGCCTGACAGAAGAAACAATTCTCCGGAAATACTAGCAAATCAAACTTTGCATCGGTGAAAACACTGCCTTCCATGGCATTACACGCTCTCCCTCAGTTGAATCACGTGTTCTGTTCACTTTCTTGTCTCAGACTTTGCTGACAAGGGATTCTGGTTTCTGTTTGTCTGTTTGACTTGGTTTTTGTGTTTTAAGCTTTCAAGGTTTTCAAAGTCGTTTTAGAATCTGACAAAAAATAATGCTACTTAGAAAATAACAGAACTAAAAATAATTTTTTATTTCAAGGACTTTGTTTTGCGGTTAGATGCACAAGTCTCCATATTTTAAAACTAATTATTTCAAATATGAATCACACTCATCTGCGTTTACACAAAAGCCTATTTATTACCTGTATGATTCCAACCAGAAGAGTGAGGGTGCTTGCAATCAGTACTCTTGCCGCATCTCTGGTTCCGGTATCTAACGTGGTCGTGTTTGATGTACTTCCGTTACCACTGGGCACCAGAAAGTGGTCATCGGGAGCCATGCTCAGAACAACAGATCCCACCATCAAACTGACCACAGGGAAAGGGCCTGGGGAGAAAGGCTTTGTCAGCTAAGCAATAACAAATCAGACATTTGGATTCAACATGTCTACGTACAATTACAAAGCTGTAATTGTGATAGCTGGGTGTAACAACTAACCAATAATGGATCACAGACATTTGGACTCAACATGTCTCTGTACTATTGTGAAGGTGTGCGGTAGCTGGGTGTGACTACGAATTGCTGTTGGGAGAAGCTGAAGAGTAGCCATCTCAAGGCATTCCTGACTCAGAGAGGACAAGTGGGATGGAGGTAGGAGGCAGAAAGGCAGTGCTGGGCACACTTCGTGAGTTTACAGAGACGGTGCCAGGCCCTCCTGTGTGGGATCTTCACGGCACAGGCTGTGGGAGTTATCAGAAAAGATTTTCTGGCAGAGACACACACACAAACTGAATCCTTGCTTGTTCAATTTAATATTTATCCCCTATGATCTCATCTTTTAGAGTGTCCAAAATCCTCACCTCCAGATACAAGAACCTCCATCAATATCATCCAGACTGGCAAAGGATTGGAATATAGTTTCTTTCTTATCATATGCCAGTTAATAAAATCCTATCTTTTTAAAGTTCTGATTTCTTCTTTCTTATTATTTTTCTATTTTACTTATCCTTCCTATCCTTTGATTATAAAATGTTTTATGGTTGAGAGGCCTCAATACACAAACTTAGCAACCAGGAAATCTAAACATAGCGAATGCCAGAGGCAAATCCACTTCTCTCTTCCTGACTGGTTTTCCGAAGAAGTTGATTCAGTCAATAGGCTCCCCCTGACCTTCTTCTACAGACAGGTCAGAGGTTAATAAGCTCCCCCTGACCCACTTCTGCAGACAGGTCAGAAGCTAGAGCCTGTGAGAGACACAGGGCATGTGAGGGGGCTGAGGAAGGGATTACATTTGTCTCTAGAGGGCCATCCAGACAACAAACCTCACCAGCACATAAATGGGGCAGCAAAGTTATCTTCATTGCTGGTGTCAAAGTCACATCAAATCATATCAAAACATTTATTTGCTGGAATATTCCAGAAAAAATAACCTTGAATGTTAGGAACCAAAGGAAAATCCATTGTGAGTCATGCCAAGAAGGAATACAAAGCTTTTTCTAAATTGTCTTGGCAGGATTCTGCCAGCCTTCCACAAAAACTTTACTGAAATCAGTATGTTCTTTACTGAAGTAAGGAATTTGTATTTGGTGACCATAATTCAGTAAATACAAATTTAGCCTATCGATGTAAGTGGATTTAGATACAGTAAAGATTTATTTTCTCTGTAATGTATTGAAAGAGAGCACTTTTAAATAGAGCCAATTTTATTACATTTTTAAATTTTAAACTGTTATAAAACTAAAAGTAAGGTTTAATTTTCATTCTTTCAATTTCATCTTATTAAAGCACAGTTACATATAAAGCTAACAACGTCATTTAATAAAGAAAGTAGGCAAGGCCCTGGAGTTTGACTCCTCTGTGCCTCACTGGCAAAGGCCTGGAGGCATGTATATATAACATAGCAGGAACATTTTACAAATGGACAAACACAGCTGTAAAATATGCTTGTAATTACCAACTGAGATGTGTCTTGATGTCCCAAAGACAAAATACGTCAGGATAGGGAAAAAGGCAGAGTAGAGACCATATTCAACAGGAACTGCTGCTAACAGGGCATAAGCCATCCCTAAAGGTGCAACCAACAAGGTAAAAGTCACAAACAAAAACCACAGCATGTCCATACCACACAAAGAAAGGCTTTTCATAGACATACTCAGTTTATGGATTCAAAACACCAACCGGTCCTGAGAGGTTCTCTTGTTTTGCATGCAGACCTTGGCTATGCTAGGATGCGGACTATGGCTTGGTTGGGATAATGCACGTCTACACCCATCCCCTGCTTGAATGAACTGACTCCATTGCTCGTAATTCAGTCACTGGCTGATGATATCAGTCGGAAAATGATCAAATCAGTTCCGGTATAATTTGGTTAATCCAGTCCCAAAGCCCAGACCAGTTTATGTGGATAGTTCTGTTTGAACTCGCATTTCTTTGTGTTCTGAAGGATGCAGGCATCATTGCACTTCTCTTTCCTGGCTAGAGAGCAGAAATTAGATAAATATTGAGACAACTCTACCCCGATGAGGGCAGCTGATCCCCCAGTGGGCTGTCCAGGCAGTCTCTGGGCTATGAATCTCAAGCTATGGAGGAACCAACATTTCAGTGGGCACGGGAGGTGGAAAAGGATAATGACATATTCTTTCTAAATATTTCAGCAATCAGCATGCTTTAACACATAGTACTCCATAATTCATGCTTCACTAGTGAAAATTCAGCCCTTTGTGTCATTAATAAAAGACTGTTCATAATGATTTTTAAAACTTACCTGTTTCCTATGGACAGGTTTCAAGTCCTTAAACTTAGCATTCCCTGAACTCCATTTCTCCTTCATTTTTCTTCTCTGCCCCTTCTCCTACACACCTTATTATACACAAGGGAAACAGGGATGTTTGCAGTTTTATACACATTGTCTATTTAGGGTAACTTTTATTCGTGTAAGGCATAGTTATCTTTGTTACAAGGAATTTGGTACAACATTTTTAAAATAATATGGTTTGTAAAGAAACCTAAACTATTGATTGAAAGTGTGAACTCTCCGCTGGGGTATAGTCTGGGTAGTGGCATGTCTTGTAAGCTAAATTGAAGCCATCTCAAAGGACAGGGCCTTCCACCATGAGAGGATACAACCAACATGCTGTGAATTTAGACTCCTTCACTTTAAAAAGCTGAGCAATAAATTCGTAATGTGTACTAAGTAAACCAATTGACATCCGAGATAAAACCCAGACAGGAAGTTTCCTATAGTTATGAGTAAAAATACCAATAAAAGGCTTGTGGGTCTTTTGTTGGTTAACAGAAATTTATTTTTTAATACTAGGAGTCAAAAGATCCCCCCCCTACTACCCTGAGGAAACCCAGACCCCTCTCCGAGCATGTCCAAGCGCCCAGCTAGCAAGCAAGCCATAGACTGTCACCCCTGCAGCTGCAGGATAGCTTCTGACGTCTCTGCTTCTGACTTGAGCCCTCCTCTCATTAGCTGTGGCCTGGAGCCCTCCAGTCTACCCACTCTGGAATCTTTACTGGGGCATTGCTTTGTCTTCGTAAGACTTCTACTCTGAAGCAACCACTCAGTTCATACCGCTGTGCCGTCTTGCCCCCACTTCCATCCTGGCTCAGCTCAGCCCAGGGATTTCACAAATGTTCTCTTGTCTTCTCCTCACCTCCCTTCCTACACCTGGAAGCCCCCAAACATTCATGTGCCCCAGAATAGCTTCCAAGCACACAATCTAGACTGAGGCATTGCACCAAGACTGACTGTGTTCCAAGTATTCTGATCTCAAGCCCCAGCGGGCACTGGACTCTGTCTGGCACCACCTGGCTAAGCTGCCTGTTTTTCTGCTGCACTCACCAGTACTTGGTGATGTGGTGGTGGCTGTAGAAAATATTTCACGTCTTGTGGTGTTAAGTGCTGCCTGCTCCTGCACAAGGAGACAAACCTATCCTCAGGGCTGGGTTTAGGGTGAAGCAGTGAGGTGCCCTGGAGACATTATTTAAGCAGTTCCCGAGAGTGTCTCCAGGCTTCACCCGAACCCTGGCCTTGCCCAGTCTTATCTCAGATCTATCTCCTCATCAGCGACCCTCCCTGGTGTGCTCACCTCACCAGAATTCTCTGGTTCCTCCCTGTTTGTCCCCAGGACCAGTCTGTTTTCACAGAGGTGGCTTCCAGTCATCCCCTGGGCTCTGTCTAAATCTCTCCTCTTCAGTTAGGCCTTACCCGCAGTATCTAAAACAGACCTTCCTTTCCAAATGAGTTCCTATCTGGACTTGATCCACAAGATCTGTGCCTGTTAGTGATGGCTAAATTCTTTTTTTTTTTTTTTTTTTTTTTGGTTTTTTTTGAGACAGGGTTTCTTTGGAGCCTGTCCTGGAACTAGCTCTTGTAGACCAGGCTGGCCTCAAACTCACAGAGATCCGCCTGCCTCTGCCTCCCGAGTGCACCACCACTGCCCAGCTAATGGCCAAATTCTTGATGTACAGAATTAGTCATCAAAGTTTATTATGTGCATGAGAGATAAGCAAGTGTGTGTGAGAGCCAATTAACCTTCCAGAAACTTACCTAGCAAAGATAACTTTATAGCATTATTTCTGGAAAACAAGCTGCCTGTAAAAATAAGGAACTATGGTGTTCAACTTAAGAATGGATTTGAGCCCCAACACTACCTCTCACCCACTCCAAAGTCAGGACAAGAATTACTAGAGCTCTCTTTTTCAGACCCAGGCCAGCTGGCCTTGGTGAGTTCCCGATAGAACATCCCCATTGTCTCAGTGTGTGGGTGCACCCCTCGCGGTCCTGAGTTCCTTGCTCGTGCTCGCTCTCCTTCTGCTCCTGATTTGGGCTTTTGGGTGGTGTGGTACAGTATCTGATTTTGTGTTTGTCTGGCTCTCTGTGTGTGTATCTCTTGTGATTTTCCAGTTTTAAAAGATTATGCTTTTTTAGTTCGTATGTTCTCATATGTCTGCATGCTTTCTAAAGAAAGAAAGATGGTGCATGAAGTTGAGTATGTATGGATGTGGGGAGTATCTGGCTGAAGTTGGGGAGGGGAACCATGGTCCCTTGTATGATGTATGAATATGCTGTATAGAATTATTCTTTTTCAAATAAATAGATTTAGATCAATATGATCTGTATNGAAGGTTAATATTCAGGAGGATGCCTCTATGTTTTTCTTTGGGATCTCCTTCTTATTTAGCTTCTCTAAGAACCTGAATTATAGGCTCAATGTCCTTTATTTATGGCTAGAAACCAAATATGAGTGAGTCTTGCTGAACATAGGGGACAATGAGGACTACTGAGACCTCAAGAACAATGGCAATGGGTTTTGATCCTACTGCACCTATTGGTTTTGTGGGAGCCTAGGCTGTTTGGATGCTCACCTTACTAGACCTGGATGGAGGTGGGTGGTCCTTGGACTTCCCACAGGGCAGTGAACTCTGATTGCTCTTTGGGCTGACGAGGGAGGGGGACTTAATTGGGGAAGGGGGAGGGAAAGGGGAGGCGGCGGTGGGGAAGAGACAGAATCTTTAATAAATAAAAAAAAAAGAAAAAAAAAAGAATTACTAGACCTCTCATTGCTAAAGGAGCTATAGTAATTCTCTTGCAGAGTTCACGTAAGAATGAAATGAGGTGTATCTGACATATAGTAAGCGAAATTTATCTCTTTTCCTCCTGCTGGGGGTTAAACCTAAGACCCCATGCATGCCAGACGAACACTGCCTTCGAACTCCATTCCCCAGTGGTAAAATCGATCTTTATAAACAAGTTATCTACGACAACTTAGCGTACCTGGGACCCTTAAAAACCCCACATTTTTCATGTATAAAAATGATTTATTGTCAGGAATAAAATTCAGTCCTTTTAGTTAAATATTGGCTGAGCTACCTACTCAATGTTGATCTCTGTGCTAGACGGAGCCTTAACAACCATGGGGTGGTGAAGGCTCCTATTCCCCAGGAGCCCTGGGGAGCCATCACTTTATGGCATTATTTATTTGTTCGTTTTTCAAGACAGAGTTTCGTTGTATAGACAAGGCAGACCTCAAACCCAGAGTCCTACCTATGTCTGCCTCTCAGGTGCTAGGATTGAAGGTGTGCACCTCCTCCACAGCCAGCTCACCTCACAGACTTTACAGCTACAGTATAGGACGTGCCCTACCCCTCACCTTTGGGTCCAACTGAGGCTCCACACTGGGGCTACAGAACCTCTTCCTTCTCTGTGTCTTCTCTGAGTAAACTGAGTAGTCCTAATCTTGTCCAGCAGTAGCAGCCTCTGTGCCGTAGAAAAGCACCAAGTAAAGGCTTCTGCAGCCGGGCAGTAGTGCCGCACGCTTTTTTTTTTCTTGGGTTTTTCGAGACATGGTTTCTCTGTGTAGCCCTGGCTGTCATGGGACTCAGTCTGTAGACCAGGCTGGCCTTAAACTTACAGAGATCCACCTTCCTCCACCTCCTGAGTGCTGGAATTAAAGGCATGTGTTACTACTCCCTGGACATAGCTAGAGTTTAATGCACAATTTGCCTAACGTTTATTACAAACTTTTAAACTAGTCTGTTCTCAAGCCCTTTCTCCATAGGCCCATGCCCTGCATCACTTCCCACCTCTGGACAAACTCGGATGCTACCTTCAGGATCCGCAGTCCCATCAGAGGGGGTAGAATGCACGCACTAGCGCTGTCTTAGTAGAGAACCATATTCCTGCCACAGTTCTCAGCACACCAAACTCTGAGTATTCATTTTCCCATGGGGCTATGAGATCCTTCGCTGCATCTTAGACTTGATAATTTACCTAGTTCTGCAGCAAACTAGGTGATCTGTAAAATGCACCAAACAAATGAGTTCTGTTGTGCTGTGGGAGCTTTGGGGAAGTTGGAGCACAACCCAAACTAAGATACTTTTCTTTAAAGTGATTTCACACTCCAGGTCAAGATCTGTGTGGGGATGGAAATAAGGTAATTTAATGAGCTGAAAGAATTGGCTTTTAAAAAACCATCAGAACAGAAAAACGACTATCAGAACATATTACTTGAAGTGAGGAGAAGTATTGCTTTACAAACTTTAGCTATGCGTGTACATACCAGAATGCAATGCGTATTTCTCACTGTGTGCTGTGGTCAGTATCTCTGCGGAGCTCCGGCTTGGTACCAGGCCTATAATCTGGAGTCACACAGCCAGAGAAACAACAATGTTCCCTAGGAAAATTCTTTATGGAAGGGAAGACAGGTGACTCTAAGATACCCTAGAGAAGAATGAAGGACTTGAGAAGAGTGTGAGCGCTTGGTCCACCGGGAGAGGAGTGGGAAGTCATGAGTCCCTGTGGAGACAGTAGCGCACAATCCCTTGAGACCTATCCACCAGCATCTCACCTTGCAGGGTCGCCACCAGTCCAGTGCTGACTCCAGAGATGACATCACTGAGCAACCATTCCTTGACTCGGTATTTGGGGAGCCAGTCCAGAATGGGCAGGAGAGTCTTCAGTACACCAAAGGCTCTCTTTTTGGAGCAACTGTTGAAAAGCAGGAAAATAAGAGGTCTGCATCAGTTTTGACCGTAACCAGTTGTAAATCACAAAGTCATGAACCAAATTCTGCTGCTTTTTCCTAAGTAGTCAGAAAAATAATGAGTTTCATGAGGAAAATACAGAAGTGCTTGCAATGTTGTTGCCAAGAATTGTATCTATCCTTTTAAACCCACTGTTCTAGGAAACACAGGATTAAATGTCTCCTCCCTCGTTCACCTTTTTAATCCTCTGAAAAAATATCTCTACACAAGAACCAGTTTTCTAACACAACCAGAATATGATCAGTGTGGAGTCTCTGTGTGAGATTAAGTTTTAGGCTTCTAACACTGGCATTGCCTTCTTTAAAGAAAAATAAACACAGGGCTATTTTGGCAATACAAGCCTAGAGCCGCTTTTTAACAAAACTTGTAGTGTGATGAATTTATACCATGTTACTTAACAGTTGTAAATTTAACATCCTATAGATAAAAAGAAAAATATCAATAGATAGGAATTCCACTTTCTAAAGGTAATTTTAAAAATTGCATTTATGAAATAATTGCAAAGTTTAATAGGTCATCCAAGTTTGATATTAAGAGATTATTTTAGGTGGATAATAAGACATAATTATATATTTTTAAATTCTCAGAGGTACACACTAAAAACATAAATGATGGCTCTCCTTATCTGCCACATGATTTGAGGGTTCAACCTATTGCAGATAAAAAAATAAGAAAAATGTAATAAACGTATGAAGGGGTTTTTCCCCTTATTTCCTAAACTTTACAGTGTGACAGTGGTTAACAGTGCTGTTGCATAGTATTAAGTATTATGGTCTAGAAATAATTAAAACTGCCAGGAGGTGTATGGGTTATATGAGAACATTAATATACATATATATGAAACTTGGGAATTTGGGAGGGGATGCTATGGGGGGGTATCCTAAAACCAATCCCCTATAGATACCAAGGAAGAACAGTAACAAACCAATGACCCAATACATGGAATTTTTAAAAATCATGCTGGCAAGCCTGGGGGTGATGGTACACACCTTTAATCGCAGTACTCAGGAGGCAAAGGCAGGAGAATCTCTGAGTTCAAGGCTAGCCTGGTCTACAGAGTGAGTTCCAGGACAGCCAGGGCTGCACAGAGGAATCCTGACTCAAGGGAAAAAAAAAAACTCGAAGAATTAACAAAATATATTATTAAGATAATGCTAGAGGAAGCAAGTGAGTGGCAGTGAGAGAGATATTAGGTAACTGAAGTGTTTCTTAAGAAACCTGGCAATTAGTTGAATGTCTGCCAAATGTTTTAAGTTTATGGTATCTGGTTCTGGGACTCAATGGTGGTTAACCCTAGGGGACTCACTGCCTCCGGAAGCACTTGGAACACCTCTCTCCCCGCTTTAATCCCAGGTCTCTGAAAGTGATCCTGACCTTGGTGTGCCCAGGCTTGTCCATCATCGGTTGCTGTGAGCCCCTTCATAACATAACGCTTTTCCCTAGCCTGGTTTTCACAAGAAGGAAACAAGCAGCCACTGGACCCCAAGGTGCACTTAAGATTTCATTTGAAAAGGAAGAGAAAAAGTGAAACGGGAGTGGAGTCGTGGCCGGACGCCTCCTTCTGCAAGAAGGAGTTTCTCCAGACAAAGTTGCAGTAATTCCACCTTTGTCCTGGGACTGTGCGAGGAGAAGCACGAGTGCGGCGGGTACACCGCACCCCACCGCAGGGCGAGCACTTCTTTCCCTGGAGTCGCCCAGAAACCTGCCAGTTGCCCCTGTACCTGCAGCTCCGCGCCAGGCTGTCCCTCAGCGTCCTGCGCTCCTGCAGGCGCCGCTCTCGCTGCTGCTGGAAGGTGAGCTCGCTGTACACCGGCCGCGACACCCTGTAGCTGCAGCTGTACTCGGCGAGCTGCGATGGCTCCGAGCGACTGCCTGGCGTTGCCATGGTCTGCGAGCCCGAGGACCACCGACCAGGAGGGGACGCGACGGTGAGAGACAGGCAAGAAGCAGTCCGCAGCCGGCACCAGGGCGCACGGATCGGGTGACACCTGTGATAGCGGTGCTGGAGAGTCAGCCGGGTCCTGCCGTCCTTGGCGCTGGGAACAAACCGGCCCTAGGCCACCTGAGGGAGGCAGCTGAGGACTTCAATGTCTCCCACACCAGATACCCGGGAATCCCCGCTGTCCAGGGAGTGAGCTTCACTTTGGGGACTTGGGGTACAGTTAGGGCGCTGTCCGCGTCCTGAAATCTCCGCCCGACGGGACCCGTGCGGGTGAGACAGGGAAAGGGTCCCGTACTCCCCACACTAAACAGTGTGCTCCACGCACACTCTGGACTGCAGAAGTGCTGTCCCACTTGGGGACAGGTGCAGCGACTTTCCAGGTCCGACACCCACTTGGCTTTTGTCTCGCCTTTTCTGTTGCTTGTCCTGCCTTGCCCGCTGGCGCCTGACCTGTCCCATCCCTAGAGAGTTACAACAGGGCGGGGTGCAGCCAACAGCATCTTCTGCGATGAACTCACCTGTTTGGGCTCCGGTGCTCTCTGCCTGTCTGGAATGCCCTGGGGACAGTCTTCTGCTGCCTTTATAGTGCTCACCAAAAGCAGTGGGACGTTTTATTTATGGAGCAACAGAGACACCTTGATCGAAGGAAGGGCGCAGATACAGCAATCTTTCCTCCACAAATTTTAACCAGGAAAAAAAAAATCCTACCTCTCCTGCGTCCTCCCCTTTCCCAAACCCAAAGGGCTGTGCCTCTCAATGGCTTTCTCACAGGGGCCACCGGATCTTCGCTCATCTCAGGACTACTAGGGCTGTGAGGTCAGGGAAGGCCAGAGCTTCCATGTTGGGGGGCCCTGGTTCCTGGGCTGTCAGAATCCACAGCCTGGTTCAGGCTCACTTACATCAAGTGGAAAAGTCAGTGGGTGTGGTAAAGAGGTTATGGTCCACTCACCGGCTTTAGGTACAAATTCTTTTCACTTTGTGCATGTGTCTAATTCACAAACTCGGGTGTGTAGGTGGTCCCTTTCTCACCTGCCTCTCTGCCTCTAATTTGTTCTCCTCCAGCTAGATAATCAGGAGGTGAACCACTGGGACAAGCAAGAATCAGACAAGGAAGAGTAGGGGATTCTGATCTATACTGTTTTGTATTCTGCTGGGAATACAGCAGGTTAAAATAAGGGCAGAAGGTCACTCATGCCTGGTTAGTGTTCTGAAGCAAACGCGGAAGAGGCTCAAAAATATGGACCCTCTGGACACCAGGTTTCAGTCACCCTCTTGGGAAATACAGACCATGATAATTTTATAAATTCCCGGAAACAAAATTTCTCTCAGGAGAACTCTAGTGTAAATCCCCTAGTCAATATGTTGCAAGCGTGTGTGGTTCCCCCCCATGAGGGATGAATGAGTCACCAGTTTTCAACAGATTTTCAAAGGATTACTCGACCCAAAGAGGTCAAGAACCAGTCAGGCATGGTGGCATGCACCCATGGTCCCGGGACACTTGAAAGACAGAAATGGGAGGGGTCACTTGAGTCCATGAGTTTGAGACCAGGTTGTGCAACAGAGAGGGAGGGAGGGACGAGAGAGAGATTTTTAAAATGATTAAAAACAGGAGAGACCTTGCCGCACTCTCAACCCACTCTCTGCTGCCTGTACACAGCCAAAATGTGATCATCCAGCTTCCTAACTGCTGTCATGCCTCCCTGGATTATGGACTGTAACCCTCAGGAACCATAAGCCAAAACAAACTGTTTCCTTTCTAAATTGCTTTGGGTCATAGAAACAGAGAAGTAACTAACACACTGTAAGAATTTGGTTCAGTGTAATAATGCGTATGTGTGAAGATGTTTTGATGAAATGTAGTAGTTTATATAGAATTGTAGAGAATTAATAATACTAAGGATAAATCTGGGGAGCGGTGAGATGGTCCAGGGAGTAAAGGAGCATGCACCAAGACGGCTGCCAACCCGAATTCAATTCTCAGCCGAGAACCTGCTCCTATGAGTTATTCTCTGGCTTTCACAGCATTCTATGCTACTTGCATACCCTCAAAACTAATCAATGAAATGTAATAAAACTTTTTCTGGAATTTGGTTTAATCACCACTCTGTAATATGCCCTGTTTTTATGTGAACAATGATACCGCTTTCTCCTACCCCATTAAATGTCTTTTCTATAGCAAAAATAAACATCCATGAACAGAACAGCATCTGCCTTACAGAATTTGGTAAGACCGTAGGATTGCTTTTCTCGTAACTAAAAGACCTTGGCTTATCTTTTAATAGCTAAAAGGATCAGCTAGAAGGTTCACTGGGTAAAAGGCCCTTGCTGCCAAGCCTGATGACCAGAATTTGGTCCTTGAGACCTACAAGAAAGAAAGGACTGATTTCTACAAGCTGTCATTTGATCTCCATGTGCCCCACACAAAATAAGTAAGTGAATTAAAAATAAATGAATAAATAAAGCATAAAACCAGAGAGGAGCTGGAGGTAAACACAGCTGCTCTCCATCTTCCTAGTTACATTGAACTTCTTGAATTACTCACCCTGACTGTATAAACCAAGTCTCACCTGTTTTACATAGAAGTGGGTAGGTCTTATTTACCAGAATTTAATCACATCCAGGGTTTTTACCAAAGAAGTGAGCATGTCACTTCACAATAGACGTCAGAGGGCAATATTGCGACCGTATGACACTTCCTTCTCTGCTGTTGCTGCTTACAGGCCAGGTGAGGTGGAGCCTTGCAGTCATTCCCACGCACAGCAGGAACAGAGCCAGAATAGCAAGGTCAGCATGGTCTACACAGAAAGTTCTAGGCCTGGGTTAGAGAAACGGCTCAGAGATTAAGGGCACTGACTACTCTTCCAGAGGACCTGGGTTCAATTCCCAGCACCCACATGGCAGATTAAAATTCTCTGTAACCCTAATTTCGGGGGACATATAGGCAAGTGAATCATCAATGCACAAAAATTAAAGAAGTTCCAGGCCAACTGGGGCTACATGATAAGGGGCTGAATCCGGTCTCAAAAACAAACAACCATTCTGAGAAACAAACAGCAAAGAAAGCATTGTCACTCAGGCTCTTGGAGTGTTAGACTACCCTATGATTAGAAATTCATATCATTTATTCAAGAGTTTATTAAGAATTCATACACACACACACACACACACACACACACACACGCTGAGAACTAGGCCTGTGGTTGCCCACTGCCTGAGATGTTCAAGCTGCGAGCCCACTTGTACTTTTGCAAGTGGAGATAACAGCAATGGCATGAACATGGAAAGCTGCTGAATCTTGGTATCCTCATAGAATATATGTAAGACGCTGGGGACATTATCATGCAATGGTTTGGATGAGAAGTCTCTGGAATGTCTACAGAAAGTTCAGGGATTCCTGCTTCACTTTCCCATGGTTCTCCCCTCACAGAATCCTTCTCTAGAGTTCTCTTTCCTATGAGGCTGCACGTCCTTGAAATTTTGAAGAGCGGTACATGGCCTGGCAGGAGTCTCCCTGGGCATCCTCTGCATGACCGCAGAACCCAGGCATGCACAGGAGAAGGTGAGCACTCCATGAAGAGGAAGACCTGGAGCTGGGTTTAGATGATGAGCTGGAATGCCAGCTGAGGAGCTCTGCCTGTACTTTGCAGAGACTGAGAAGGAAGACCAGATAGAGAAGGCAGGGCTACAGTGGCAGCAGCAGCCTAAGTACTGACCTCTCATTCCCCTGGAACCCTGGGGGATGCCTCCTGAACACAGCTCCTGGCCTCTCCTTCTTGATTTTGGGTGTGTTCCCTTCATCCTCCTGGAAATTTTTTTGGCGAAAGAGGCCTGCATACCAACATGATGGATAAAAATTCTCAGTCAGAATTCTGTCAAGAGGAGGTATACTATTGCCAACACAAGAAATGCTCGCTTGACATTAATCGGTAATCATGTGTATAATGCTGGTTCTTGATTTCCTTTGTAACAGAGTCCGGTTCACTTAAATTATTGCCTGGTGGTTTACATTTTTAGTTTCCTTCTTTTAAACCTTCCTGCATGTCACAAAAGCCTTAAGGCAAACGCCATTCATTCATTCATTTTTTTTTTGAGACCAGTTCTAATATAGCCCAAGCTAGCCCCAAACTCTTAAATCTTCCTGCTTTTACCTCCCAAAATGCTAGTTTACAGATGTGCACCCCACACTGGACTCTAATCCTCATATTCTCTCTGACTATAACCCTTCCGGTCCCTCTGAAATTGATGCAAGCATACAGTAAGGCAAATATCAATCGGCAGCATTTTCCATATTATTTGTTTTAGTATAAATGGCACCTTTTAGTTAATGACTCATGATATTTATGTAAATTCATAATTATATCTATATTTTCAAGTGACTTGCTATAATAAATAATTTGAGGAATTGAAGTGATGACTCAATGGTTAAGAGCACTTGCTGCTCTTGGAGAAGAGCTTGTTCAGTTTCTGGTACCTAGATGGTGGCTTAAAACAATCTATAACTGCAGTTACAGAAGATCCACCACCCTCTCCTACCTCTGTGGGCATGGCACAAATGTGATGTACAGACATACATACAGGCAAAATATTCACACACATAAAATAAGATAAATAAATCTTTAAAAATGATGCTAGTCCTTTGATAACTTAAGAGCAATCAATCTGGCTACATTTTTCTTGGCTAAAGAGAAGCAATGCAAATTATTTTATTTTATGCTTAAAATTTAAATCATTATCTAATTAATCAGGAGAATTAATAAAGGATAAAATGCTAATTATTTCACACAGTCCCCCTAAGACAGGGTTTCTCTGTGTAGCCCTGGCTGTCCTGGAACTCACATTGTAGATCAGGCTGGCCTTGATCTCAGAAATCTTTCTATCTCTGCCTCCTGGGTGCTGGAATTAAAGGCACGTGCCACCCCTCTTGCTAAGAGTCCTGTTTTTTAAAAGAAACCATGATTGTGGTTCTTATAACTGTCCGTGTTTGAAGTGTATCATCACTATTTTAAGGTGGACATCCATTGAATTATTTCGCTCAAGAGCCCACGATTGGAAACCATGGTGATTCCCACTTACAGTAGAAGCTCACATTTCAGACTGGTGCTGATGATCACCGTGAAAAAACAATTGCCAGGAAGGTCAACTATAATCCTGAATTCCTGCTTTTTTGGGAGGGTGGGGTTTGAGATAGGGTTTCTCTATAGCTTTGGAGCCTGTCCTGAAACTAGCTCTTGTAGACCAGGCTGGCCTCGAACTCACAGAGTTCTACCTGCCTCTGCCTCCTGAGTGCTGGAATTAAAGGCATGTGTCACCACTGTCTGGCAAATTTCTACTTTTTAATTCCTGTCAATGGATGTTAAATTCTGCCATTTTTATACAAGAAGAAAATGTAAACTTCCAAGGTATCTGATCACCTTCTCTAGTAACTTCTTGGGTTTCTTTTGCAGCCAGACATTTTCAGACTTGTTTCAATCTTCTGTCCATTACTTTTTTCTTTCACAAGAAATGTTTCTCAAGGACACATGTCTCTTGTGATATTGAAAATGGAGACATAGTTAAACTGAGAAGAATGAGTGGTCAGGGAAGGCCTTTCTTTTTGCCAATTTCATGACATTTGAAGAAAGATCAGAAGGGCAAGGAGATGATCTTTCCTTTTAGAAAGGGTAAACCCCTGAGTCAGGAAAGAGAAAGAAACTTGGTGACGTGTGAGTGAAGTGTGCATATTTCAGATCTGGAGATGGAGACCAGATGTCCTTTGAATGTGTGTGGCCACAGGAACAGGCATTTAAAGAGAGAGAGTAGACAGGTAAGTATCCACTAAGTTCCTGAGTTCTATAACATTTAGGTTTGAATGTTGAACACCTCCCAAAGCCTTATGTGTTAGGTTTGATTTCTGAGTGATGCTATTAGGAAAGCTTGGAGGGGTAGGGACTAGTGATTTGTCTTCAGAAGATCATTGGAGGGAAATTACACATGGTACACAAACATACATGCAGGAAATCACTCATATACATAAAATTAAAACAAATGATATTAAATTTTATTCATTTATTTCTAATTATCTCATAGGTGATTATTAGATTCAGTCTGAGGATAGAATAACATCTTAGACATCTGTGAAATTATCCAGGGCATCACAGCATCAGCTCAGCTCACCATTATCTCATAGAAGTTCCAGCACTGCCTCGCCTGTTATGAAATATTATTTTAAGATGTATTACATTTGTTTTTGCTGTGGAACATTTGTTTAATGATGCAAAGATGTGTTGCATTCTTTTATGTTGCATTTGTTTAACTCTGTGAAGCTGTGTTACTTTACCTACCTAAAACACCTGATTGGTCTAACACAGAGCTGAAGGGCCAACAGCAAGGCAGGAGAAAGGACAGGTGGGACTGGAAGGCAGAGAGAATAAATATGAGAAATCTGGGGAGAAGAAATAAAGGAGGAAGAAAAGAAGGAACCAGTCAAACAGCCACACAGCCAGACATGGAATTAGAAGGAAAGCAAAAATATTCAGAAATAGAGAAAGTTAAAAACCCAGAGGCAAAAGATAGATGGGATAATTTAGGTTAAGAAAAACTGAGCAAGAAACAAGCTAAGCGCAGGCTGGGCATTTATAAGAAAGAATAAGCCTCCATGTGATTTATTTGGGAGCTAGGTGGTGGACCCCCAAAGAACAAAAAGTCAAAGAGTAAAAAACAACCAACTACATTTTGGCATTCCAACATGGGCCTTTGTCAACCTGGAAGGGGTTTATTTAATAAAACACCGATTGGCCAGTAACTAGGCAGAAAATAAAGGCAGGGAAACCAGACTAAGAGAATTCTAGGAAGAGGAAAGGCAGAGACACAGCCACCAGACAGATGCAAAGGAAGAAAAGGAAGACAGATCTTTATAGTGTACAAAAACATTATCCCACAACAGAGCAGTGTTAGATTCATGGAACAATCAAGAAAATTGTACTCAGGAGGCAGAGACAGGCTGATCTCTGTAAGTTTGAGGCCAACCAGGTCTACATAGCCAGTTCCAGACTCTGTCTTTAGGGAAAAAAGACACAGCCCTTTTATTATATACTTTACATTCACACAACCCTTTTAAGATATACTTTATATTGACATTCTAAATCTGTAAGAAACTTTGGCCCCAACTCAGAATCAGTGTGTATACATGGTTATTTAGACTTTTTTAGCTCTT